AAACGCTCTATATATATGCCACGCAGATGGGTTTTCTAAACAATATACTGGACAATAAGTCTACGACCAATTCTCTGGACGAGCAACATAAGGAAAGTCAGATTGTCCAACGAGAAACGGAAGAAACTGATATTTTTCGTGACGACTCAACACAGCCTGGACCATCTACTTCATCCAACAAAAAATCTTTTGCGAAAAGAAGAAGATTAGATCCGGTGGAAATGAAAATAATTAGTTCTATAGAAGCTAACACAGCAGCCAGACGTGAAGCAGAAACAAAGCAGCGGGTTGAAAAATATGAAGATGATGATTTCCATTTTCTGCTTTCGCTGCATCCGACTTTAAAGAAAATTCCAGAAGATTCGAAATTGGCAGTGAGAATGGAAATTATGCAAATTCTTTTGAAATATGCAGCGTCAGCGACTCCGACTCCAAGGCAAACATTTCATCAAGTGGGCAATTTTCGTTCAGAGTTTGGTGCACGAGCCCACTTAGAAAACCCTCAAGTACAGCCTGATGTTTTCCAACCACGATATCAGACTTTATATAATTGTCAGCAAACTCCATCTCACTTCAGTCAGCCTCCGCCAAATTATCAAGAACTTCAAGTTAATATATCCCTGAACTTGCAACGCACAATGAATTCTACTGAGTCATCAACTTCTACTCAAGTTCCCCTGGCAGCACCGTCTCCTGCAGAATCTGTTTCCGAATCGATAGCGTCATACGTTTCCAGCTACACAGCTGAAGCTGACTCCGAATTAAGCCTCTTTTGATTTGCTTCTTCTAGTACGTATTATATATTTTATTCATAATCATAGAATATTTCAACGCTTCCAATAAATTGCACAATGTTCAAATATTCATAAGGCGATGTTTTATTTCATGACTATGAGAATAGACAAATAATAAACCAAGTTTTGTTTCTTACCTTATAGTTATTACAAGCCTTTCTTCTGGGGAAATACAGTCCCTCATAACAGTATTTTCTTTTCTTAATTCTTGTTCTATAGCAGTGAGAAGTTCATAAAAAGAAAACTGGGACATTCTTGTGAAATTGAAAAATTTTTCTCGGTTGAGTTCCATTTTTCTAATAACTTGGTGACACTTAAAAATTCACTGTAGTTAGAACACTGCACGTATTGTTGTGAAACTTTGAATTTAAGTTTACTAAAGAGTGAGGTTAAGATTCAGTACTGACGTTCGATTCGCGCGGCCTACTATGTTTCTATATGCAAAACTTAAGAGACATCCCTCGGACGTATGAGAATTTTAAGCCTCAACTTTTCTCAACAGTTCTTTTTTAATTCATGTCAATATCTCAATTATTGAAGAATATATGCTGTTTTGAAGAAAATCATGCGAATCATAGCAATAAACAAGAAATTGTATCAAGCAGGCTTTGCCGGATAAGAAATTGATTCGAGTAGGCTGTGTCTGTTAGCATTTTTTGGAATATCAAAAAGATTCTTGTGAAACAATACTCAACAAAAATGACAGTGGAACAAGTAGCGCAAGCTGTAGTTTTTCAAAATGGTGGTCGTCCTATTCGGTATATCGCAGAAAGCCTTGCCGTTCCACGCATTAGGGTATTTGATACGATACAAAGATTTAAACAAACTGGTTCTTACTCGAGAAGACCTGGGCAAGGAAGACGGAAAGCAACAAATGCAGTTGAAGATCGGTTTCTGAGACTTCATGCTCTTCGAAAAAGGAAAGTTCCTGCCACAACTTTGCATGGTACCATGTATAACAACAAACATTTTAATTTTTTGCAAGATCGGCAGTCGATAATGATGACAATGAAATTACCTACAACTACAACGAAAAAATTAACGACATTGATTTGTTTGTCCGGTTAATTTTGCGGGGCAGTGTATTTAGGGAAAACGTGTGTATCTGCATTGTGTATACTTTATCTGAAGTCACTTGAAATAGCAAACCTTTGGTCGGCGCGTCCTTTGTAATTTCATGACGTATCATAGGCGTGCGGTCATTTATTTAGAAAGATAATAATAATGTTTTTATATCACAATAAATGGATTTTACTATCTTCTTATTTTTTTGATTTGGGATAAAAAATACTTATATTGGGAGTTTAATTTATGTTGACTGAAAGTTAAGAAATGAAAAAATTACAGAATTCCAACGATTGACATAGGCAAATATTTACATAGCAGGTAAGTATATAAAAAGGTATATAAAGACTTACATTATAGGTATTTATATATCATCCTCGTTTTCGGAGCTGTCGCTAGAGTCATCTTGTAGAGGAATTACAACGGGATTTACAGGAGGCAAAACACAATATTCATTTTCTTTTTCAATAATATGCCTAGAACACTGCTTCCATAGGTCTGTGGCAGCAATATGAGATACTGCATCTCTTATTGTGGCCAATAGCGATTCATTTAATTGAGGGGTCTGATTATGTTTTCTTACTTTTTTTTTAAAGCAGCCCAGACCAACTCAATCGGGTTAAAAATGCAGTAATTGGGAGGTAGACGTAATACTTCATGGCCATTTTGCTGAAGCAGATTGTCAACAACATACTCTTTTTCAAATTTTTGTCTTTTAATAAGATCCAATAATATGGCTTTGGTTGATTTTTGTGGTATTTCCATTCCCTTATCCTTCATAAAATCAATAATGTCTTGTTTTTTTGTGCCTGTATTCGGAATTTTGTTTTTCTGTCGGGAATGGCATGGCGCATTGTCCATAATAATCACTGAATTTGGGGAAATGTTTGGTATTAACTGCTGCTCTATCCACTTTTCAAATAAGTCGGAGGTCATCTCCTCATGATAGTCGGCACATGATTCTTTGATATTTTTGGCAGATAACAGCAAGGCATTAGGTATAAATCCATTTTCACTGCCAGCATGGAGAATAATGATTCGTTTTCCACGGTTGCATGGTGCATTTAAAATGCACTTGTTGCTGTCGTCAACCCAGCCGTACTGCACAACATCATGGCTATCATACCACGTTTCATCCAGGTAAATCAGATTTCTTTTCTGCTCTCTATAGATTTTAACTTTGTGCAAAAATTCTTGGCGCAATTCAACGATTCGAGACGACACCATAATCACCATTCTTTTATCTAATTTTTTGTATTGGAAACCACACAGTTTTACAATACAGTGCAGTGAGTCTAAGCATTTGTAATTATAAAAATCTTCAGGATAATCTTTTAATTTATCCCGTATCATTTCCAACGTGGGCACCAAATTTTCTTTATAAAATCCGTATATTATACGACGAAAATCTTCCTGAAAACCCACGTCTATTCTTTTTAATTTTTGCAGTATGCGCTTTCTGTGGAAGGAATGGTTGACTACATCTCCCCTTTTTATAACCCGATAAATGGTAGACCGACTGATTTTTGTCAGGATACAAATTCTGTTTAAAATTTGATTTTGCGAGGAATCTGGATTTTCGTTTTTCAGACAATCATACATATTTAGGATTACTCTTTGGGTCTGTTCCTCTAAATCTTTATGAAAGAATTCTGCCTGCACAGGTTCATCAACCATCTTCTCGTGGCTTGGAGCATTTTCCCAAGGTCTCCAAAGAGCCATATTTAGGACACACAAGAACAATCAACACAACAATTAAATCAACAAGTAAACTGAGTATTCAAAAGTCAAAAACACACAAACTAATAAAATCTATGAAAAAACACGGACAGACTAAAGAAAACACGTTTATTCACCGCTACACGGCACTGGCTAAACTGTTTCAATTTTCAGTAGCCACCGGCACTTGTTCGGAGCTCTGAAATACACGCTTTCTCATTGGCTATGTCCACGCATAGGCGTGCTTTACTCCACGTGGACCGGTGAAACTGCCTTTGATCTTATACGGGGGGGATATTTGCTGCGAAATTTGGCGATATTTGCAGAAACAGAGCGTGTTAAATACGTATATAGATATATAAAACACACCCGGTATTTCACAGTGTTTCAAGTGACTTCAGATAAAGTATACCCGCACGCTGATCTTACACTGTCTACCGAATTCGTCTCTTTTCGGTTTATTATTTGCATTAAGGTACAAAATAAGGCTCATCAGCTGTGCTCATAAATATCACTGAAGGTCTTTAGTACGACAAAAATATAATTTGCCATCAAGTATCAAGTAGTTTAAAAATGCCTGACATCAAGTCAAGTTGAATGATAAAGAAATCAAGTCAAGCATTAATTAGTCAGGCAAAATCACACAGCAACCCTCTGTTGCGCGACTAAGTGGACTACACAGTGGAGCAAGTTCGTAAACATTCAAGGCCACGGCTCGCACTGTAATCAAAAATTAGCGCGAACTTAAGATTACACTCTAACTAAACCGAATCAAAATTTGTTTAGTTCACCTCAAACTTAATCCGTGTACCAAGTCAAAAAGCCTAGGTGTTTCCTCTTAAAACAAACACTTCTGTTTTCCTTTGCTCTTCTCCTTTTTTCTTATATTTCCCTTTCTCTATTTCCTTGACATTGTCTGGTTTCTGGTCAACCAGTACTGACAGATTCGACTAACGTACATTAGACAGTGACTAATGGGCAAAGATCCTACGGAGCGCGCAGACAAACAAATGACGAATAGTAGTCAAGCATTAACGTTTCAAGTAATTGTATTTTCAGTAGTTTAGCAAAATATCAAGCTACTTGACTTGAAGAATCCCTACTGTACTGTCGAACATTTTTGCTACAGCAAATTATTTTCGATATCTTGATTTAACCTTGAAATGGTTTAAAAGCAATGGTCAAGGTCAAGGAAGTAAAATTTGCTTTTGCTCTTTTCAATTCCAATATGAGGGGGGGGTCTATTTGAAAATAGTCACTTGATATTGAAAGAACCTCAGATGCCATAATCAAGGTCATTGCCAAGGTTACCATCATTTTATCCCCTCCAAACCCTACTAATTTCGTTTGAAACTTTTTTCTAGAATGCGCTGTTTTCGAAATATGTATATGGGGAGATTAAAATGGGACATCGTGTACATCTTGATACATAGTAATTTATTAAAGACAGTACACAAATTATTCATTAGTACACATTACATACATATTCACACGGAATGCACGTTACATGTGTTTTCATTCTGATTTATATTTAGCCCACCGCTCTATACATTGTAGCGTAAGAGAATGATGCCTTCATAACCTGCAACAAGAACATATAAGATTATTTTCTATAATTGCACATCAGAAAGTAAAATGATTTCGTGCTAATCATTCAACGCTATATGGCTGCTTTTATAAAATTTTACAGTGCTTTTCAGAAAGGTCTCTCGCCTATTCATTTTTTTAAGACAACAAACAAGTATATATTTATATAGATTTACTTTTCTTTCAAAGAGTTAAATTGTTCAACCCATAAAAAACATGTTACATCTAAAATTGAATATGAATATGTTTTAAAATTAAATTTAAAGTTTTAAAATTTGGTCATATTTAGTACTCTGGTTCAGAACAACAGCCTTGATATGATTGGAATTTCGGAAACATGGATATCAAAAGATATATCTAATGACCATATAAGAATCAATGGATATAACTGCTATCGCTGTGATACAGATGGGCGAGGAGGTAGGGTTGCAGTCTTTATAAAAAAACACTACAACTTATACGTAAATTTAACTGGGCAAAGACAAAGTCTTGAATATATTCTCGTATGGTTGAAGGTGCAGCTTTCAAAACATTTAGTGACATGTTGCCTGCCATACTAGCTGAATATGATGTTATCTTTGCAGATGATATTAATGTTAATTTTCTTGCAGTTTGTTATATCTGACTAAATGCCTTGATTCTTATAATCCGAAACAGATAATATTTAAACCGACTAGAATAACAGAATCGAGACTCGCTCTAGATTCTATCTATTTGAACAAGCCTGAAAGTTTTCTTATGAGTGCCGCCATTCATGCTGATATGATAAATATTTAACCTTCTGTGATATACGAATTACACTTCTTAAAAATCAACAGAAATTTGTGACGTTCATGGATTTCCGTAGTTTAAATCAAGTAGCATTTGAACATTATCTGAAAAGTTTTCCATAGTGGTATATCACGGCTATAGATGACAATGAAGATGAAATTAACTTTTTAACAGACAATGTTTTGTGTTTATTTAATGTCCACTGTCCAAAAAAATAGTACGTGTAAACAAAGCACCTGCTTCTTGGTTGGATGATTCTATTAAAGTTGTATTCACGCAAATGGCGGAAGCTTTGTCAAAGTTCAAACGATATCGTACAGTATAAATATTTCAGAAATCGTGAACTAACACTTGTGCGGGAAGGAAAAGCAGAATATTTACAAGCCGTTCAAAATCAGGACATAAAAAAGTTTCATTAGACCCTAAAGACCATCAAAGTGCAATCTCAGGAATATTCTGCAGTTCTTGTGAGTCTATCAGATCCGCATAAAATAAATGAGGCATTTATTCCAATTTTGAAAACAGTGGTTTGAGGTGTGCTAATAAAACTGCAAATATGTTGGTGAGCTCAAATAAAACAAAAATAAATGCTTTAAAAATTTCAAACATAAATTTAAAAGGTAATAAAATAGTTCCTGTAGAATATTCGAAGAACCAATAGATATAGATATTCTCAGAGTTTTATTCGCAAATAAGGCCAGATTACACAGATCTGTGAGAAAGCAACTGAGTGAATCTTTCTCATTTTCAAAAATATCGTATTGCTTAGTGGTTCCCTATTTAATATTATAACAAAAAATTGTGTTCACAGTATTATGAATACATGTTGCAGCCCCGTAAATGATCTCAGAAAATATGATTATATACTCGTATTAAAGCACATTAGTGGTCTGGACGAAAATTGATAAAACGTATAAATACCAGCTCCTAAAGCTGACTTCCATCGTATTTAGAAAGCAAATTCGTTCCAAGAGGAAAATATGCATTAATATTAGATATAGATAGGCTTTTTCAATTCCACACCACAACACACCTCTATTATTTAAACCATAGTTCAAAACTAACTCGTTCCTCAAATTCAAGAAAAAATTGGAAGAAACTCTTCTTGATCAGCAGCGAAATCATTTGTAACCAATAAATTTTCTTTATACCTTTATATTAATTATGTTTTATTATTGTCGTTATTATAAACAGATAATGTTTCACAAATTTTTAGTTTTTATACATCTCGAAGACGTTAATTATGATTACTATTGTTATCATTATTTTATTGTTATCATATTGTTTTTATTATTCCTATCATTATTATTATACAGATCGGTAGTATTTTGTTCCGAAACAAATAGTCTCGAAACAAAATGTTTCGATCTACCTTGGCTGTCACCACACAGGTCGAAACGTTTTTAACACAACATTTTCCGTTATTAAATTTAAATTGTCTTACAATCAGCCTTGATGAAGGAAATACACATATTCGAAAGCTCGACATGCACAAAGGACGATCTGTCTCTCTGGTCTGAATTTCTTTGCGTTGTGGCTGTAACCGCAAGATACTTGTATCTTAACTAATTAACCAAAGCTACCCTTTTCCTCTTTCAACAAATTTTCTATACACCATCTTTCTTTTTCTTTTAATTGAACAGTGGCCATTTACTGAGAAAATTTGTGTCTTTTTATCAATTGATGAGAATGAGTATCCCAACAACAAAACAAAACAACGGAAGGGGAAATTACAATGAGATTGAGCCTTCCGATTGTCTTGAGACATCTTGCCACGAAACGTAATTCAGATGGTTGAGGTCGAAACATTGCGGAGCGTTTCGCGCCACCTAGAAGCAATGTTCGTCCAGTGGACAGCATCCTATTTGATTACATTGAGCACATTCCGGCAACGTAAAGCGGTATAGCTGTGCTTAATAGCAGTAACCAAGGGATAGCTTTGACAGTTCCCAACAAACTATCAAATCTGATGGTTACTGAAAACTGCTATCTCAGACTGACAAAGTTATCACATGGCTACAGCTTTTCAGCATAAATGCACTCGTTCTACGTTGGCTCGTTCAGTTACTATAACAGCGACTTACGGAAATAATTGTAGTTAAATTCAACGGAAAAAACTTCCCTGCAGTCACTATCACAGGTATCTGCAGTCGAGTCATCATAATCAAAATACATTTCTTAAATCTTCTGCTGGTGCTGAACCAGTTACATTCGTAAAGGTAACGGCTGTAGGTGGAACTCTAAAATTATAAGTTGAAATATTTTATAAATAATTTAATTAGTATACAAGGTGCTGTCCACAGTACTGGACACATCCATGTAAAATCTCATTTATACAGGATGTCCTAAAAGCTGGGACTTTCCTCTAAGGTAGCACATAAAGAAAAGGTCTAAGATAACCAAGCTATTAGGTTCCGAAAAAGCTTGCGGTATCAAATGCGATGCTGACTTCGGCGAATATTAGATGAAAGGATACAATGAGTGTTCGTATTCAACCCGTCATGTAGGTAAATCGATCTGTTTGACATCGAAACAAAAAATACGAAAACATTGATACCGATGTTGTTATAAGCCTAAAAATACGCGAAAAAAATTGTTAGAAATACCAAAAATAAATATACGCGGACTTGGTAACCATGTTTTTAGCGTTAAGGCGCGGTATTCAGTGTACCCCTGGTACTCCCTTGCGACTCTGTAACTGCATTTTATGACCTGCCCTTTCCTAGTAGATAAACAAAACAAATGCCATATGTAAGCAACTCGAAACTAATAACCATCAATCAATCTTATCCCTCTAGAAGAGATCAATAACAGAATGGAAAAAATAATTTATCCACGATTTTCAGGGAAAGCTGAAAATACATGCATATGTTTATCAAATATATAGTATGCAATTGTGACACCACGTTTTGGCAAATATATAAAAATATAAATAATAACTATAATCGCAACTGGGTTGGGCGCATATAAGTCTGTTGGCCTGCACTAGTTGCAGATCACATGCCACTTGCCGCTAACCTGCCTCGACGAGGAGTAACACATTGTAAGGTCCGTCAGGAGATATTTTAGGGCCAACCGCGTCAATGGTAGTAGCGCCTCCATTAGTGACTTTTCCTCAGAGGTTTCTTCAGAAGATTCCTCAACTGAAGAGATGCATGGCATATCAGTGGGATCACCTGAGATCCCGCATTGCTCACTATCGGAGCTTCAAGGTCATATTAAATACCTCAATGTGCGTAAAGCACCTGGAGAGGATCGAATCACTAATAACGCGCTGAAGCTAATTTCGAGGAAGTCTTTATCTTGTGGCAATAATCAATGCCATGCTAAGAGCTCAGTAATTCCCAGCGGTGTGGAAGGCCGCTGATGTTATAATGATTCCAAAAAAGGTGGGTTCGATATACCCCCAGGATTACCATCCCATTAGTTTACTCTCAGTTCACTGAAAAGGTGATCCTACGTCGCCTTGAAAATTTCTCGTCAAACCACAATGTGATTCCTAACGTGCAATTTGCTTTCGGTCTGAGCATAGTACGGAGTTACAGGCGGTTCGGCTTGTTGAGCGAATGACCAGAGGATTGACCCGTCACGAAAGCACTGGCATCTTGCTTCTGGATGTCTCAAATGCATTTGATAAGGTCTGACACAAGGCCCTCCTCTACAAACTGATTCGTACTTTTCAAATCATTCCTTGAGGGTAGAAAATTTGGGTTCAAAGCCGGTGTCCCTCAGGGTTCGATTTTTGGACCAGTCTTTTTTTACTTTTTATTCATGACGTCCCTTGGCCCTGCAACTGTCTCTATGCTGATGACACTGCCCAGATAGAACAGTCGTGTTCTGGCAGTCTAGTTCACGTCGGGCTGCAAAATGTGCTCGACGAGGTATTGGATTGGGCGAATCGGTGGCTGATCAAAATTAATCATTGTACTAAGAAACGTAGCGGCGTAATTACGTAATTCATGGCACCGGAAAAAACTTCATTACAACAGATAGATGACGCACCACTAAAACGGTCGAAGCATGGGTCGAAACCATTGGTAGGTGAAGATCGTCAGATTTTCCACCTATCTCCACACAGTATTGTAATGAAATCACCATTCTTATTGCCCAAACTCTAATTAATTAATTAGCACTAATTGATAACACTTGCAACTGATTTATAACAAAACGTCGACTGGACTATTAGTCCATCTTAATTATGCGTTCGATGTTCACTGGCGCGACTGTGCCTCAACTGTGATTAACACCTTCCGCCATCTGGTGTGGTATTTATTCCCACATCGACGAGTTGAGAATCATTCCGGGGTGTTCCAGTCCAAGTCGTGAACTTCCATGGAAGCAGTCTAGAAGGCAGCATATCCATCTTCAGATGGGTTGAACAGCACCAGCTTGTTTGCTTTCCCCTTATCTATCTCCAGGACTGCTAGATCTAAACCGTACTGATGAGTTGCTTATTGAGCACGAAACAGCGCTATCTGCGGATGGTCGTGCTTGAAAAGAGTAAAGGCAAACATGTCCACTTCATCGTATCTATTTATGCATATAAGCATGGAAAGCCATTGTTGGTCTGCTCAGTGAATACTTGATATGCTGGCTGCTAGATGGGTCGATGGTTTTGTTGATGCGAGATCTATCTGTGCATTGCGAAGAACTTTCATCGTATAGGATGAGGATGAAAACCGTTGGTAAGTAGAGATCGACATATTTAGCGCCTACTTCCGCACAAAAACTCTACCATCTGCTACTGCCCTGATAATTTATTAAATACGGAAAAACAGTTTGCTCTTCCATAGTCCAGCCAACAGGGATACTCTGAATAACAAAGTTTTACAATAACTGCAGTAAAAGATTTTTTATTGTGACATCGTAGAATATGGCTTTATAATGATAAGTTCAAATTTCAAGTTAAACGCTTTTGATATTAAAAATTAATAGAGAAAATTTTGTAGCGAACTAAATTGTCTATTATTTGGCTTATAAAATTTTGCCGTATAGTCAACAGCTTACAAGAAATACGATAAGCTCTACATCTAGAGGTATCTTGGATGTTATCAAAAACTTTGAAGTACCTATAATTCGACGATGTCGCGGCGGAGAGCCTCTTACATGTGTTGCATAAGATCTCCGATTAGATGTATACTCGCATGTTTCGCAAAACATTTCTACGTATGTTCAGCCAGATGTTCCATTGGACATTGTCCAAACGTTCCACTACGGGTTTTACACGTTTCGCGTTCACGGAAGAGCACACATAGTAATTACTTTTTAAATAACTGAGGCTACAAGAGCACTCCGAAAAAAGCCAATTTAATTTCCACGCAGGCCGGTAACACAAGTGAGTTCTATCCCTCTTATGATGCTAAAAAGCGAAAAACCGGATAAATTAAAGTTGTTGGAAATACCAACAATACCTAAATAGACACGGACTTGGTAACCATGTTTTCAGCGTTAAGGCGCGGTACTGAATGTACCCCCGTGTTATCCCAGGTTCTCTCCCTTGTGTCTCTGTAACCAATTGACATAATCTAAACAAAGCAGCTGCCTTCGATACATTAAAAATTATCGTTAACATTTATTACCTCATCATAGGCGGAGGGTCGGTAGCAATATGTTAGTTTCAGTGTCTTCATGATGCTGCTAAAGCTTCGTGATCAGATTAAGATGGTTTTCCTTTTCCTGGGCATTTCCTCGTTATAGCGCGGTACACGAATTTTCTTATTAAATGAACGGTTGGTAATTTGCTCCGTTTCTTTACTTTTTCGCTGCTATTTCACCACACATTAGCTATTTCAAGTGTGGTTGCTTCTGAAAGGGAGAGACAACTTTTCGAACACCCTGTATATTTAAAACAACTAATTAGTTATAGGGTACTACTAAGTGGTAGGCGAATGCCACACGATCAGTATTTACTGTTGTCTATCAGTATTCATCATGGAATGTGATATTTATTGACTGTGTAGGTGGACGTCAGTAAATGTATGTATGTATAAGGTTACGTAGAAATCCACTAACACTGAAGGAGTTATCAATAAAGTCTAATGGTACAGACCACCGATTATTATCTACACTACAGTACGGACTACATTAAATACTGAACGTGTGACAATCGCCATATAACATATTTACCGATTCAGTAATTCTACCACAAAAATGGCATACCATACAAAGCTGTCCCAATGAAGCAAGCATGAATTCTACCAAGGAATAGAATTCCGGCTCAAAAGGTGATAACATAGATGCTACAAAAAGGTTCGATGCCATAAGAAACATTGATGTAATGATTTGAAGCAGCATGGGGAAACTGAATATTCCATCAATATCTTGGACGATCCTAGAAAATATGCAGCATGAGAAAAATGGATAAATAATTTCCGAATTGAGTCAACATTTCAAACACATAAGCAATTTGTAACCTCACATGATTTGTTGATATAGAGGCGACAGACAAAGTATTATATTTGAATAATATTAATAATGTTTCTGTCGCATTCTCTCATTTTATGGAGAGAAACAGTGGAGCATATCTGAAGAACGCTCACCTGCGCAACTGAGGTTGGTCGCTTGGGAAAATTTATGCAACAGCATTGTGTAGGAGCCTTGATAATGCATCCAAATTTTAAAAATACAGGGTGTGGCAGAGAGGACGGACATTCTTGGGATGGGTAGTATTCTCCGCCTCCGTCTACGAGAGAGGTGGGGAGGGTGCCGTTTGACTCGTGAGATCCTAGCATTATTTTACCAGTTGTCGTTATGGAGCCTTGGACGGTGGAGCACCGCGTTTTCGCCTATGATTGTTTCGTCCGAAATAATGAGACAGTCATCGTCTATTAGCGTGAGTTTCGTCGCCACTTCCACATTCATCGGAATAGAGATGTTCCCTCTCAAAACACCATCCTTCGTTGGGTTGAATCACTTCGCAGGCGTGGTGAATTGATCAACAGAAGACCAAGAGAAGCGCCGCGAACAGTTCGAACTCTTAAAATGTTGAACGCGTTCGACAGGTCTTTCTTCGCAGTCCGACTCGATCTGCCGGGAAACATGCTGCTGCACACAACCAGCAGAATTGTCGTTATTGGGCTAATGAAAATCCGCAACAGTTACACGAAAGACCGCTGCACATCCCAAAAGTAACTGTATCGCAAACTTGCATCATTGGCCCTTACTTCTTCGAAGATGGTAATGGTCCTGATGTTACCGTGAACTCAGAGCGCTACGTCGACATGATCACCAACTTCTTTCTCCCTGAATTACGACGGCGACGTGTTCCAATCCGACGTGTGTGGTTCCAGCAGGATGGGGCGACCGCCCACACAGCGATGTTGGAGAGAGTCCACGCGAACTTCCAAGAATATGATTCAATGCTGACAGTATCAAGCCGTACTCTAATTCTAATTAATTCTCGAACACTCAAAGCGCATTTGCCGTTTCTACTGCCGGTATGATATTCGCACGTTGCTTCGTTAGTTGAATCTCTTCCCAACTTGAATTTATACCAGCTATCATTATCAATATCTACAATCTGTATATTTTGTATCGTCATATTAACAATGGTATCAAGCACATAGCTATATTCCTGATGATCGCTCAAAAAGATTTTGTCGCTGTCCCTTATGTAACGTTTGAAAATTTCCATAAGCATGCTAGCATCTGTATCTTCCACGCTGTATTTGATAGCATGATTATGCCTCTAAAGAAACTTTGGTCGCCTTCATTTAGTTGGTTGAAAAAATTGTTCTACATCTAAATGAAACAAGGCTCCATCTCTCTTGAATGCAATATCTTTCTGGATGAATCGAGACTGGATATTATAGCCCTAGATATCCACAATAACAATATAATTTCCAAGCATTTCTATGACGTGTGTATCGTGGGTTGACGTCTTTCGATGTGATCATAACACCAAGTTAATGACACAAGTATTTATTTAGCACTAATGCACTTTATCACCTCAAAATAAATTAAATCTATTAGAAATATATTCATACATGAGGCTATATTTGGCAAATTTTTCCTGAGGTCAATATGTCACAATGTCATATAGGAATGACCTATTAATTCCATCATTTCATTACAAAATTGGTTAATAGTACAATCTTCTGGTAGGTACTCCCTTCATCGTATTTCCCAATTAGTGTCGTGGTCACTTCCACTTCTTTATGTGCCAACATATACTCAGGTTGTAGTTAGTTGAATGTTTTCCATCATCAAATCTGTAAACTGGCACACTAGTCTCAGGTTAGCTGTACGTAGCAAGGGAAATGAGAAGTATACTGCTTCTGAAATCATGAATGTAATGCTCAATATCTACTGGAAAACATATTTGTCCAAACAGCTTTACCTGTCCCATTTTGCTGATCCCATTTGGTATATACCTTTATATTATTCATACCCAACTATATTCTACCTCATATTTAGGAACCAACTACTATTACTGGATAAAATAAAATGTTAGCAAGCATTCGAACTGGCTACTTGGTGTCTTTGGTGAACCTTGACGCATATATGCTGAAAAATATTTGTTTTCTGATTCTTTTATCTCCTCAATCACAATTTCAGATATGTTTTCCAACACCCTCTTTGGCAACCAAACGTTGTACTGATCAACATTATTATTACTTGAAATATTTTTCATAGCATACGGTTTGTTTGCAGTTAATGATGATAATGCTATAAATGATATTTTATTACTGGATTCACAGTTGATTTTATAATTTCATGCAAAGCAGATGTAGTGATAGACATTATTAATAATTATTATGCTGTTGGATAAACAATATAAAACGACGCTCACCAAATTCTATTTGCTAGGATTTTATTGGCTAAGTAGGTTGTTTCACCATTAATATGTTGACCGCCAAAGTAGTATTATGTCACTGCACAAGCGCACATAAACTACCCGAAAAGTACAGCTACATTTGGACAATCACGATCGCCTTCTGGGAGGTCCACAATCAATATACAGAGAGTCAACATTTAGTATAGGGCTTATCTACAGAGAGATCATACCTGGCATGGTCACTGGGAACTCAGATATGGCTTGGTATGTGACAGGTCTCAGAACTGGCATCGTCTTAGCAGGTCTTACAACTGACTTATATCCTCTACTACTACAATGCCGATCGTAGCACAATATAATTATGTGCAATAAATTAATCTAATAATATTTTTTTTTAAGGTAATTCGATGAAGAAGCTCATATAAATATGGGACTCAAGATGTCCCTCCATCGAGGTACAGGGTGTTGAAATTATGATGTTCAAACGGAAAAAACTATATTTTGGGAGTTGGCTGAGATATTGAGTTAAAATTTTGTAGATGTAGTACTGAGATGATAGTCAACACATGTTCGTTCCTGAGACTATACCGGTGTCCCAGAAATTGTGAACTGTTGACCCGTACAGAAGGAGAAAGAGAATTATTTTCTATGCCAGAGACTTAAAATATCCATTAAATTTTTCAATAAAGTGAGTAGTTTCAGTTATTCGTTTCTTATAAAAAATTTGCGTCAGACTACTCCTTTTGGAGAAAAATTGAATTGAATATTTGAGGTAAGGTCGGTATAAAAAACTTAAGTTCATTCTAGTTTAAAAATGTGCTAAAATTACTGAATTTAAAATTACATGTAGCGTATTAGGAGAGTAATCCTAGCTCACTACAGTATTACATAAATAAAATCCATGTTATGTTTTTATTGTCTTACCAGTAGCGCAGAAATTTACAAGGCCCTACATATTTATGATGGAAACTTTTAATCGAACATACGTAGCCCGCGATAATTCAAAATTCGCCATACATTTTGAACAAACCTCGTGTGTAAAAATTATTCTTTAGCGACGTTTCGACCACCAACGGTTCACAGTATAGATCAAAATGAAAATGAAAATATATTTTATATGTATCTGCCTTCCAGGTGACAATTTTTTCAGTGTTTCCGCTGCTAAAGTGTGTTGCAACAACAGCCTGAGTAGCGCTGTACCGCGCCGAGATAGCGCAAAGCCATCATTACAACTTTAAGATAGCACCTCGCAAACCCAGGAAAACCCTGAACGGCCTGGGGTACGCATTTCCACACCCAAGATACAATAATGGTAGTCCAAGGTTATATAACAGTCAACTGGTGATTGCGATAGCAGTTCTGGCTGGGATTTCGTATCAAGTCGTTTATATCCAAAACAGACAACCTCATATTCGCTTGTCATTTTTGTGGGTTGAACGTCTTTTAGGACCAGAGGCTCCTTCCCCAGGCAGTCCTGGGCTTAACTGGATCCGCGCGGTGCCATCTCAAAATTGTAATGATAACATCGCGCGATCTCGGCGTAGTACAATACCGTTCAGGCTATTGCTGCAATACACTGTATAATAATGAAAATAAAAACAAATGGATTATCATCTGAAAGGCAGATACATATGAAATCCATAGTACTTGTCATATTGATTTGTGCTTTGAAAAGTATTTTTCCAACATCTGCGGCTTCGTTTATCGGCCCGATACCAGAAAGATATACATAGAGATAAGTAAGCGAAACAACTACAGACCGTTTCAGTAATGTCATTTTTCAACAGTCTGTTTTGATATTATGACATTGGTTTTTGTACAAAGTTTGTGAGAAAAAAATTCATATGATCTGAATCATTTGCATGAATCTTACCTGAGCAGAAACGACAGATGATGGTTACACTTTTTAATCTCTTCATACATCTCTTGTTCCAAGTTTGGGACACTGTCATCATATTGCATTTCGTAATCTATTGCCATATTACCTTTCGAAAGTAACCTTTCTCGAATATTTTTCGTTGCTGCGCTCAGTATTTGAAGGTGCGTATCCAGACACTTCAGAAAACAGCAAAAAATAGCATCATAGCCTGGAAAGATTGCTAATGTTTATCACTAGGAAATATAGTCAGACTTTGTGCTATAAACCACAATCGTATACAAAAAAACATTATTTTTATTGTCTTCAGATAAGAAATATACTGGGGATGCTGCCAATAATAATAGTTTTTAGGTCTTGGCATGCATACCTTTTCCTACTTCGATCACTCGCTTTATTAACTTTTAAAAAAATTCATGTGAGTAAGCAATAATAACGTACATTATCGTATAAAAGACACAAGAAAGGTAAGATTGACTTCGTAGCGAATTTTTGTTTCTGGTTTACAGTTAAGCGTCATTAGGAAATCATGTATTGTATGAAAAATGTTTATTTGCCTGTGATTTTTGAAATACTCACAATTTCGCACTTTTCAAAATCTACATGGTGGCCCATCCATGTGTGGACGGAATATTACTCATAAACAAATACATTTTAGTAAATTCTATGTATGGCATGTTATACAACAAATGAGATAAAATCTGAGGTGTGTAAGTTTTTTTTGATACAAAATTCAGCACTCCAAATTTCAAAATCGCGGACTGAGGGGTTGCGTTATATCTCAGTAGCTAATTACCAAAACCCCATAGTATGTTATATAAATTTTCTTCTTTTGAATTGGTTTATCTAACTATGCAATAAAATTTGAGGCATTCCATTTGAAAAATCACAATTTTGGTCGAAATTGTGAAACCCTGTATAATGGCCAATATCTTAGAAATGTGCCCTCAAATGTCATGTATAACATCCCATAAATAGATTTTCCCAAAATGTTTTTGTTTATGGGTAATATTCCGTCCACACATGTATTGGCCACCCTGTATACCTACAATTGGTGACTTCAGAAGTTCTGTATGTAGGATACGAAAGAGATAATATAATAGCAATATAACGATAAACGTGAAAACATCTCATCTTAGAAGATTTCGAAGTACCGCCCCGTACCATTTCATTTTTACTACATGGGCAGTACGTAAACAATTCGATATGGGCAACAATGTCAGGGTAATATTAAAGTCACTTACTTGGTGACGAAACGACAACGAGTTATCCTCCTTTGGCAAGCGATAAGGGCGATATGATCGGATTGTCGGGGCCAACACCTATTTTTAGAAAAATACTTATGAGTATCTCCCGTATTCAACCGACTCATGACATCACATGCACAAATCTACTATTTACCATTACATTAATGTACCCCAACTACTATTACGGATTCGTCATCGACTGAATCACGGGATCGTCATCACACAGACTGATCCTGACCGTCATCACACAGACTGATCATTAAGTCATCACACAGACTTAATAGGAGTCGTCACACAGACTCATTCTAACTCTTTGGTCGCTAGGTGTATGGTCAGACGTGCTGAGTCTAACGATTGTTACAAAAGACAGTCCAGGAGCCGGGATATCACGCTGGCCAAGGGCCGTTGTGTCAATACCCCAAATCTCCGACGTTAACCCTGAATCAGAGGTAACCGAGCAATATGACTATCATTAAAGTAACAATCCCTTCACACATCCTGCCATGAAATACATTCAGACTCCAGCGATTGCCAAGAGAAGATAGTTAAGTGGTCATTCAGACCAAGGACGCCACTTCGGCCAAAGGCCACCGTGTCAACATCCAAAGCGCTCCGACGTTTCCCCTGGTAGAGGAAACCGAGCAGTAAGTAACATAACTACCTCAACCCAGCAAACGGGCTCCGAAAGTCCCATAACAACCCCCAGAACCTGGAGGCATCCCACCTGCGGATATTCAATAACAAGTCGTAAGCCATGTTAAATTATGAAGGTAAAAAGTATAGCATCTTTATAAACATGGCTTAAGACATTCGTGATCATGAATATAAAAGTATTATGGTTATCAATCCATGCAGTACAGTAGAATAAAGGAAACACTCAGTGATTGCTCACCTTTCAGGTAACCAAAACACCACACCCAATAGCACATAGCAAGTTCACAAAGCGCACTACTTGGTCTGAGAAGCGATCTCATCCACGCAATAATTGAACTGTATCGCCATCCAAGCCAGTATAACAAAGTTTATCCCGGGAACCAGTACCCAGAGGAGGAATGGAATGTATAATGTAAACAGGCGTAAGGGCTGTCGCGCTGAGTGACACTAAATAGCCTTGTGAACCTTCTGGAAAGGTTTTGTGTGCTACAGGGTTGGACTCGCATGCAAAAAATGTGTTTGAGATATTTCGTAAGCTTACATGTATATAGAAACTCAGTTGATATCTTTAATACTGAAGCAACATACAGGTAGCTCTACTACATTCATGTACAGAACAGTTGCAGTCAACGACACAAAGGTCACCGATTTCATAGCGCCATCTAGCAAGCTTCAATTGAAGGCTCGTGTTCTGCTTGGAAGGCTTTGAGAATCCATCGATCTGATATATACGCCTGCCGAAAAAGTCAACGGACAGCCGACTTGGTTATAAATTTGTTATGAATTAGTTGCAAGTAGGAGTAATAAATCAGAATTTGAACAGTAAAAACAGTCTTTTTGTTACAGTTGTGCCAGGTAGGTTGTGAGAGCGAGTTTAACTGTTCCTGGAGACTGAATCGTGCGCGTATGGAGAGTGACTGAGACTATTATGAGAGACCTTGGACTCTTAGCTTCGAGATCATTTCGTGTTCGTTTCGTCGTTTGTACGTGACTGTGAGAGACAATGCCTGTGAAAAAAACTTGTGCGATCTGAAAGTGGTGTAACTGAGAAGCGGGCTAGATGAGGCTAAGCTCTAGACAACGGGATCAAAGGCGATGCTGGTGGCCCGTCTTCAGGACTACTTAAAGAACCGTGGAGAAGATCCGTATACTACTGAATTCGAAGTTCCAGACTCCGTCGACGTCGAGCAGCTCCTGTCTTTGCTAAAGATGGAGAACCCGACCCTGTCGCGGATTCTAAAGAAGGACAACCAGACCTTTTCCCAAAAACTGGACGACACCAGACGCGCCCTCTAGAAAGACAACCAGACCCTGTCGCAAATGCTGCAGGTGGAGAACCAGGCCCAGACGCTCTCAGAGAAGGTAGACCACATCACCCGTGCTTTTAGAGATCTCCACCACCGGGTTATCTGAGCTGGCGGAGAAGTTTCAAGAGCGAGTTACAAAGGAAGCTGCAAGTCGAGCAGAAGTTTGGAGCGTTTCGTATAGCAGAAAGAGCCTTCCCAATTGATGACCGACACTACCAGCGCGCTGAGCGAGGAAAACCAGCATTGTCGCAGATGCTGGACGAGAAGAACCAGGCCCTCTGAGAAAAGATGAACCATATCACTAGGGGAATCAGGGATGAATTCACCATCGGGTTATCTGAAACTGTGGAGAAAATTCAAGGGGAGCTATAAGAGAAACTGCAGAAAGTCGAACAGAAGCTTGCTGAGCAAGTTCTGTAGCTTCGCAGACTTGAGGAGCGGCTTGCCGAGTATGGCGCAATCCACACAGAACGGGCGCATGGTGGTGGCGTGGGTCTGGCGTGGCAGGGGCATGTGTCATCACATGTTCGTTTATGCAGCAATACAGACAGAAGTGATGTGGCGCCAGCGAAATAATTCGCGCCACCGCCGTACAACTTCGACACCACGAGTGGCCTACATTAGGCGCAATCCACACAGAACGAGCGTGTGGTGGTGGCATGGGACTAGCGTGGTGCGGTAGAGGAACAAACGTGACGCGTTTAATTCACACTGAAATGTCAGAACTCAGTTTCCCTCAAGGCGTGGATCACGGAGTGACGACTGACGATGCTTTCGGATGACGAAGATGATCAAGATATGTTAGACCTTCTGAATTTAGCTAACATACAAAGGCGAAGAAGATACATCCTTTGTGGCTAGATAAAGGGAAAACTAGTAGTTCGTTCAACGTTATGCGGGAGCTCAATATGTACCCTGAACGTTTTCAAAGTTTCTATCGAATGTCCAGTCAATGTTTTTATAAAATACTAGCATTAGTAAAGGTAGATCTTGAAAAGAAATCAACAAATTGGAGAGAACCGGTCAGTCCAGAGGAGAGGCTGTTAATAACGCTGAGGTAAGTTGAAAAAATATATTAAAGTAAATTGAATTAACTCAAATAAAAGAAAACATAAAATCAGTATTAATTATTGTATCGTATAAACGTTTTCATATTGGGGCCTTCAGAATGTGCCATCATACTCCTTAATCGCGTTGTGCAACACACACATCGCTTGAATTAGATCATCAACTTTAGTAGGATCACATCGAATAAGTGTTTGTAGAAGCCCGAACTTTGTTGTAAGCATATCAAAAGCGCATTCCACTGATTTCCGTACTCTGGAACATCTGACATTAAAAATATTTCGTTCGTAACTTATCAACTCTCTTCGAGAGAAGGGTCTCATTAAATTTGAGGATAGGGGAAAAGCCTCATCGCCTACAAAAAAGTAGGGAATTAATGGATGCATTTCTCAGGTATATTCAGACGGTGTTCCTTCAACGCTTTTCCAAAACTGCTATTTTTCAAGGCTCGTCCGTCACTATTGCGTCCGAATTCACCTACATCGATTGTTAGAAATAGGCCATCTGCATCTGCCACAGCAAGTAAGACAATAGAAAAAACCCTTTATAGTTGATAAAAGCAGATCCTGACCGCGGTGGTGCTTTTAGTCGAATATGTTTGCCATCTACGCTGCCAATACAGTTGGGAAGATTCCACAATTCATGAAAACGTTTCGCTGTTTCTTCCCACTTAGTTTGTGTAGGTTTTGGCATATAGACAGGTTGTAATTTCTTTCATATGACTTGGGCGGTGTGATGCACAATCTCTTGTATAGTAGAATGACCTTTCAGGAAGTAGAAGAAAAGGGCTTTGAATGAACATCCAGTCGCGAAGTACCTGAAAATTGGCAATCGATGTTCACTTTCTACAGACCAGTATTTTGTTTTAACGTATATTTAAATGTATAATTTTTGTTTTTGTTTCAGTATCCGAGTGTAAAGACCGCTGGAAGAATATACGAGGAAGCTATTCAAAATATAGGGCAAAACTACAAACAAAATCAGGACAAGGAGCTAAACGAGTCAAACAATATTATCTGGCCCCACATCTCCTCTTCTTGGATCCTTTCTTGAAGTCTCGCAAAAGCAAAGGCAACATAGCTGAAGAGTCTGCATTATCAGCTGATGAGGAAACAGATTCTAATGAATATGAAGAAAACGGCAACATTGAGGTTCAATCACTCGATTACATTCTATCCACTCATTCCTCTCATTCACCTATACCATCTCCCAGTACTTCTGTCGATGATCACCTGTTAGCAATGAAAGCACCTAAAACACCATCACGGAAAGGAGATGATTTAAGAAAAAAAAAGAAGTTAGCAACCTCTATCAATGATGTCAACCAGCAAGCTTTTCAGTATTTTGAGAAAAAACAGAAAGTACAGGAGATCCAGAACGTCACGAAAACAAATACCACAGTTGATCCTCCTGATCCTGACCTGGCATTTTTACACAGTGTTCTGCCTGACATGAAGTCTATGAACTCTAACCAGAAACGGCGTTTCAAAATGGGCATTTTAAATTTGGCCGAGCAAATACTATCCTCAACCAATCTGGAAGCTACTACTCCACCAATGGATGGTTCTCAATCTTGGATTGAAGATTCGGTGAATAGAAATCCAGGTTCAATCCCGCAAACCAACACGGACCCTTTCAATATGACTGAGTTTATACGATACAATAATTAATACTGATTTTATGTTTTCTTTTATTTGAGTTAATTCAATTTACTTTAATATATTTTTTCAACTTACCTCAGCGTTATTAACAGCCTCTCCTCTGGACTGACCGGTTCTCTCCAATTTGTTGATTTCTTTTCTTACTAATGCTAGTATTTTATAAAAAAACATTGACTGGACATTCGATAGAAACTTTGAAAACGTTCAGGGTATATATTGAGCTCCCGCATAACGTTGAACGAACCACTAGTTTTCCCTTTATCTAGCCACAAAGGATGTATCCAGTATCTCCTTTGCTTTTGTATGTTAGCTAAATTCAGAAGGTCTAACATATCTTGATCATCATCGTCATCCGAAAACATCGTCAGTCGTCACTCCGTGATCCACGCCTTGAGGGAAACTGATTCTGACATTTCAGTGTGTTGTGTCTGTTCCTCTACCGCACCACGCCAGGCCCACGCCACCACCACACGCCCGTTCTGTGTGGATTGTGCCTATGGCTTCGAGCATCGTACCGGATTGAGCCGTCGCAATGTCCACGCATTGTCATGACAGCGACAGCGACCATCTGCAAGACAACGGTAGTGTCAAGTCATACTGGGTCCCTGAAACAAGCCGTGGAGAACAAAGATGACACTCAGCGGAGGCTGAAACTGGTAGTGCCAAGGAACCAGATGCCCGAGGTTCCTTGGCATCACCAGCAGTATAATATGGGGAGATCATTCGAGAGGATAGTTATTGACATCTCGGGGTCATTTCCAGAATTAGAGAACAGGAGCAAATATATCCTGGTTGCCATGGACTACTTCAGTAAGTGGGTCGAGACGTACGCTATCCTCAACCAAGAAGCTGCCACGCTTCTGGTTAGCAACCTTGTCAGCCGACTGGAGCTGCACTCTGACCAAGACAGAAACTTCGAGATCGAACTCATCAAAGGAGTCTGCGAGAACCAGCAGTTTGAAAGTCGACTATCCACCCTTGAGAGACGCATGGCCGAGATCCATAAGGAATCAATCAAAACAAAATTATGAGTGGCCAGATGAAGGACCGTTACGACGTTTGTGCCAGAGATAATGACTATTATCAGGCTGTACAGCCACCAACGGAGGAAAGGCCTTTCACCAAAGCTGCAACGATCCTGGAAAGGCCCTTACGAAGCTCTGAAGATGATGATCAATGTCGTCGTCTACTGAATTGGGAACCGGTGCCAAGCCAAAGCAGACAGTCGTACAGTACATCTGATAGACTCCTTTTGCCGAAAGTAATGAGGAAGCAAGCGCCCACCGCCTTTAAACAGAAGACACTTAGTTGGCGTTGAAAGAGTTCTTCGGAGTTTATTCGGGAAGCGGCAAGGCTCGTTCTGGCGTGACCAGAGAAAATTACCTATTTTTGCTGCCTCGGGAATACTCGCTGGCTGGAAAGGTACTGTGTATTCCGGATGGGGGTCAGCTCATCGTCAGCCGTAGGCGTATCAAGCACTGAGAGATGTCCTGAGTGACCTACGGCAACACCTGATGGCCTAGAATGTCTGGAAACTGGCGATGCCGAAACTAGAATGTAAACGAGATGGACTGAATTGGAGGTCCATACAGAATATGCTAGAGGTGCTATCCCAGCATACAAACGTGGGAATCCTTATTTGCGGCGACGCCTGCCATCGGAAAGGAGCCCAGGAGAAGATGGTTCTATGCCACTTCTACAGAACATATAGAACCAAAGAACCTACCTGCCGTCATCGCCACCATCCAGGTAACCCGTTTCAGGACGAAACGGTCTTAAGAATCACTCGCAACTAGAATTTTCAGTAACAATGAGAAATCCTCGTAACATTCCCGTCAGGCAGCCTGAATTACACGACCTCATATCGAAAACATTCGCCATGCATCAAGAAATATCGACCGCCATCTACCAGCTTCAATGAAGACTCGAGCTCTGTCTGGATAAAGCGGGAACGCTTCTGGATTCGTCGATTCAAAAATAAATCCACACACAGGGGACAGAATGAAGAGAGTCGACCAAGAGTGGATGATGAGTCAACAGCGCGAAACACCATAGTCCAGTCGACATGGTCATAAGTTTGTAATAAATTATTTGCAATTGTTGCAATAAATCAGTGTGTAAGTAATCAATTAGACTTTTAAAGTTTTATCTAAATCAAAAAAAACTTAGAGAACCGAGCTGCTAAACTGAACATCACCGTTTTTTTTTTCACTGTGAAAAATGAAATATGTCTAACTGGAGGTTACTGCTAAACATTTGATTACTCCATGATCAGCATTTAAATAGATATAGTAACACTATCGGCGTTAATTTCATTTATACTGGTTATTTAAAAATGTCGTGATATGACGATAATAGAAGTAAAATACGGTCCTGTTTCTCGCATAGCAGCCATTGGCGAATTCTTTTCGCGAACTGTTCTGGTTCTAGTTGATATAAAATGGCAGAATTTTTTGGCAGTAGCAAATAAGGATTCTGACAATGATGTAATTAGTGACGTTATTGCGACTTTCAATCAGTGTCGGTTTTCATATTGCTTCATTCGAATAGCATATAGTAGAAGGAGCCAAGCCTATATGTTTGACTGATTTGACTATCATTGCCTACCAAGGTGACAGCGTTGTATCATACTTACCGGAGGAAACATCTACCTTCATTAGGCTTATGCTGCTGTTTGCAAATTATGTAAGAAGTAACACGTCTTGAAATCGTCTAACACCACAATTATCTGCAAACAGACGCACTTTTAAAAAATAACACTATAACTACGAATTTAATAACAGAACTGTAAAAAACTGACATATGTCAAGTGCACTTTGATCGTCAGTATACAGGGTTTGTCCGGAAAGTAACAGGACTCATTTTCTTCCGCCATGACTGTACTTCGGAGCGTGCGCGTACCGACTGGATTCGATAGAGGGCATTCCTAGCTAACGAATGAGCGGCTGGTCAGTTATCTCCGAGCACTTGGAAAGTCAGGACAGGCATTTTCGCGCGACGTGTTTCTGTGAGTGATGCAAGCCGAAAATGCAGCGTGCGTTAGAGCAGAGGTACGCGATTAAATTCTGTGTGAAATTCGGTAAATCTGCGACAGAGACGTTTGATATGATCAAGCAGGCTTACACAGATGTTGCTTTAGCCAGAAGTGGTGTGTTTCGGTGGCACCAGGCCTTTTTGGAGGGCCGGGAAGACGTCGCTGATGAAGACCGTGCTGGAAGACCTTCGACTTCGACAAACACCGATAATGTGACTCGTGTGCACAAAGTTTTGAACTCAGACCGTCGACTAAGTATTCGTTTAATTGCCCAGATGTTAAATTTACCAAAATTTGTGGTTCATGACATTGTAATATAGCATTCGAACATGCGCAAAGTGTGCGCGAAGATGGTCCCAAAAGTGCTCACTGATGACCAGAAATTGCCGCGAGTGGAAGTGTGCCAAGAAAATTTGAACATGTGTGAAAGTGACCCCCAATTTTTGAATAACGTAATCACAGGTGACGAGTCGTGGATCTTTGAGTATGATCCCGAGACAAAGAGGCAATCTTCCGAGTGGCACACAACGGCGTCTCCTCGCCCAAAAAAGGGAAGAATGAGCAAATCCAAAGTGAAAACGATGCTCATTGTCTTTTTTGACATCAAAGGCCTCGTCCACCATGAATTCGTTCCTCCTGGACAAACCGTCAACGCCAAGTTTTACGTGGAAGTGTTCAGGAGACTCAAACGAAGGGTCAGTCGCAGCCGACTGGAAGTTGCACTACGACAACGCCCCGGCTCACACCGCCTTTCTTGTGAACAGCTACCTGATCAAGGCCGGCATCCCAACGCTTCCGCAGCCGCCCTACAGCCCAGATGTGGCCCCCCGGACTTTTTTTTGTTTCCTCGTCCGAAAAGGCCGATGAAATGGCAAGCATTTTGAGATAACAGAGGGGATCCAAGCAGCATGCACCGCGGCTCTCAATGCTATTCCGGAGAATTGCCTTCCGTGACGCCTTCAATGCTTGGAAATCGCGCTGGCAGCGCTGCATCGACGCAGAAGGAGCCTATTTTGAAAGTTTTTGAAGAATTGTAACGATTGGCTACATAAATTTTTTAAATCGACTCAGTCCTATTACTTTCCGGACAAACCATGTAGGCTATAAGAATAAGGAGACAAATCCTTGAATGGCTCCTCCTACCTAGTCCGAATTCGTTGATTTGGACCGACATTTGGATTATAATAAATTGTTTGTGCTGCAAATTTTGAGCTTTTTAAGTTTTGCATGAGGTTTTCAGTCTCTCAGAACACGAAAGTAAAACAGTAAATACTACACATTATTGCTCCAAATTTGCAGTTCAGTTCAAATCTTTGACAGATGTGACTGACCGAAATCAGAACCAGCCTCTCAGAAGGGTTCTAATAATTCAGAACCCGGTCTTATTATATAGAAGAATTCGATCTATAAATTGGTCGACTTTGAACCAGAACCACCGCCAAAAGAGTGTTCTTTAAGCCTTGTTCAGATAGACGTGAATCGCGATTGCAAATCAAACATAATACTCTCACTGGTCAATTTAGTGACGTAACAAGAGCTTTCATATTTCATTTTCCTTGCAATTCAAAAAAATTTGAAGTCTTAGGCCCGTATCGTCAGTCGTCCCTACAATTGTAGGGCGCGTTTATGGCCTACTTGATTGTCATACTCCTTTCTCTCCTTCAAAAATTTCTAGATTACACTTGTCCCGTGTCAGCGTCAGCGCTCTCCTATTGTGAAGATATGTTTTCTTTTTAAATTGTAGGAAATTTCAGGCTGATAAAACATGATATAACTCAAAAGCAAGCACAATTTGATGCAAATAGATGTTTGTGACATAACCCCAAAATAGAGTTCTGACACGGAGAAGTAGAAAACTATGACAATCAAGGAGGCCATAAAGGCGCCCTACAATTGTAGGGACGACTGACGATACAGGCCTAAGGGGCGGGAATCTTAAAAATCTATTAATTTCTTCCGATTTTTGCCTGCGAATTATTTGTCAATGCTGTCAAACCTGAGATTGCGCATTAAAAAATTGCTCGCCTTCGACGCCAAAGAAACAAATTTCTGGTTTCATCCATTATAAAATAAACGATAGGAGACTTATTTGTATAATTCTTGAGCGTATATACAATTTAAACAAATTAATAGCAATATCTACTCACAGAAATGCAAATAAGCCTAACCATAGGTGCCAACATTCCATTATGCCACCTAAAAAGAAAAGTAAATATTCCTAAAATCATTGGGAACTCCAGCAGCCTAATTCACATTTGCGATTCACGTTTATATGAACCAAGCTTCATTTAAGAAATATGGTCTCATCGACACTCTTGTTTCATTTGTTAGAATCTAGGACCGCATTTAAAAAATGCAAACGGAAGTTTTAAACAGTCTTGGGGCGCTTTTTAATATTGTTCTACCAACTGCTCGTTTCGAAAATACTTTGAGTTCATGGAATACAACCTAGTTTTCTTCTATGTTATAGTCTATCTACTATTCTTTTGTACGAACATCAGTTGAACTTACCAGCAATATACGATGACATGATGCAAAAAGAAAAGTCCATGAAAGATAGGGCAAATTCACAACTATGAATACTTCCATCGTCAAAAGGGATCATAAATACGTAGGGCAGAAAATCGTAACAAGTTGAATTCCCTTGAAAGTATATCCCTTTTTGTTCGCTCTTCAACTTCCATTGGGCAGAAATGTGAGCCAGCACTCCAACCAACACGTATGACAGGAAAGTGAGTCTCATAAAACGGTTACAAAATATAGCTGATTCTGCCATCATTTTCTCTTGGTCGAATGATCCTACAACATGGCCTTATCACAAGAAATTGTCAAACAGGTTGATTTCAAACTACAACCTTAACATATCCTTCTCAACTGTGCCAAAAAATGTGTGTCAATAAAAAAGGTGTTGGTGGAAGTTCCACAAATCATATCTACATACTTGATATCTTTCTTTCTACACACATATGCATTGCATTAATATAGAATCTTCCACGACGATTTGACAATTTATATGATTATGGAAAACTACTAGGATTCCTTTTTTTTGAAACACTCGAGCAAAGATTGCGCGAGATGCTTTTTTAAGTAATAATATATAAAATACTTGAAAGCAACGCTTGAGATGGTATATATCATATAGCCGAAAATAGTTTTATAGAATATGTAGATGGATATGTACCCAGTTTGTTCTTAAAATCGGTAAGAGTTACGGGTCGGTTGAATGGTGGCAATGTTGCGTATTTTTATATTTTAGATAATACGTTTGAAAAATTATATCTCCAGAGATACACGGAAAAGGGAAACGAATTTTCCCAAAATCGTTTCTGATTTTTTCTGGATTTACTTGAGACAGGATTTCAAAATAAACTGACATTACCAGTTCTTTTGAACTCTGCAAGGTGTCATGAACTACATTAATAAGATTTTTCGTCTCTTATCCCCCTTTTAATTCTGATCACAAATATTAAAGTATGTCATACATTTTTATAAAAAAATGTTTCCTGAGTAAGCCTTAAAATTATAAGATAGTCGTTTATTTCATAGAATATCAAAGATGATAACATATTACGCATTAACACACGGGCCTTCAAGAGCCTAACTTCAAATAGTTGGTTTAAGCTCTTAGAATTAAGAATAACATAATGTAACTCATTTATATTAGTTAAGGGTAATAATGAAGACATCGAAAACGGAATAATTTGAAAAAACTGAGAGCTGAAACATCAGATCAAAGTTCTAATTATGCCACCGTGTAGAAGAGAAAAAGTGGTAATGTTATTGTGTAATTTGTTTGAAATTTGTAGACAATGTGGATGTTTGAAAAGTTTTGTTGCGGACTAAAGACAGAAAAAATAAAAACGACTTGGAATAAATTCGGAATGATTTTGTACTTCCAAGTCCAAATTCCATTTTTTATTTACCCAAGCAACTTGCCCCCATAAATTACTCCGCGTCGTTTAGGGGAATGACACAAGATCAGTATTTACTGTGATCCGTCAATATATTTATCATGAGATATGATATACATATATGAACCATGTAGCCTGGACGTTGGACGTCAGTAATTATCGATGCATAATGTTACACAGAAATCCACTTATGGTACGGATCAGAGTAAATATTTATCATGTGACATTCGCTTTACCGTTCCCGAGATGCCAAAGGCAAGGTTCGAATTTGGAACACACATAACATATATAGTGCTTTACCGTAATTAAGTGCCCGAGCTAAGGAAAATCACCCCCCCCCCCCTTCTTTCCCCAGGGTACGCCCTTGCTGTCCGAAGACAAACAAAGCAAATCTACAATCCACGGGAGCTATAACTTTCACAGTTTTATCAAGATGGGTGCGCATTCATCATATTTTAAAATGCGCGTAACGTTGCTATAACTTAAAATGCAAAAGCCGTACTCGGCGCTGTGTTTGGACGTTTATATGCACTCAATACCGGGCATTATCTTTTTTAATAGAGAAAAATAAAGTTAGCTGTTACAAAGCCCAACACAAGGGAAAATCCAGCTTTTGAGTCAGAGGGGGGTCACTTAGTCACAGGTCCGAATTTAGGAAACTATCTAGAGGGGGCGCAGTGGTCGTCGCAGGATTCATGCGATATCGACGATTGAAAATTAAAAACGGGGCTGCGGCGGCTTGGCTGCATCATAATTAAGGACCCTAGGTGGGGACTGCTGCATCAGTGCTTCTGACAAGCACTGAGAAAACGTGGTCAATTAAACAGTTCTGGAAAATTTTCCATACACGTAATAAATTCTTTAATTATTCCAAGAAACTAAATTATTCGGCTTAATTAAACTGAATTTTCTGGAACCAGTTTATAGAACCAGTTAATCTGTTTATTTGAATCGTGGACTCGGCAGGAATGATCGGGAATATGCGACAGATGCAGTGCCGGTGACGCGCTTCGAACTCCTCAGTTTCGTTTGTGATTTTTTCGAGGAGCCTCATATTCAAATGTTGCCGCTGTTGGTGTAGTAGCTGTGAAGTGGATCAATTTTGGTAATCAAGGGAAATACTCAAGCGTTAAGTTCTTAGTGACCAATAATCATGGTAAGAATGTTTCTCCCTCCCAATAAAACACTCTGTATAAGGGAGTCACTGTTGACGTATCGGGATGAGAAAAACTTTGACATTTAATTTATGTAGCCATTTAGGACTAACCTGTACTTAGCATAGGATTGATGTGCTTTTCTTTTACATTGTAATAAATAATGTAGACGTGTTGCAACGTCCTAAATTACGAGTACGTCGGTTCGCGACGGTATATTTATGCGAGAGGATGCTTTACGTCCCCGCGGATAAGTATTCTTTGGATGGGGTCTTAATACCTGTGGGAGATACAGCTTAGGTTAAACCAGGAAGAAGTTGCGTTCTTTGGGGCGTATTGACATGCCGTTGAGAAACTTGTACTGAGATATTTGGGGAAAACTAAAATTTGGCCAAATCATTTTTATTTTTTTTTAATTTATTTTGAGAAATATAAAAAAACTAATAGAACTCTTACATAGCCACTTTTTAGGCACTACAAAATGGTAAATTTTGTGTCCGAAGGTTCGTTTCTCATAAACCATTATCAACTTTATTTTTTATATGGTCCGAAAAAAGTACACCGTGTATCTAATAGCACTTATTTAGACTAATTCAACAATGTATCACATGTTACATTTATATTCTTGGTTATAGGGAACCATGCGTTTTTTTATTTTTTTATTTTATTTAAGTCGACGGTGCAAGCGAATGCTTGATGTAAGATTATGTGATTACTGATATATGCATATTACATATTACTTAATGATGAGATGCTCTAAACTTTCATAAAATGATTGTCAATTTATTGATATGCACAATAACGAATGCATTTTTAACATTATTCTTATTTTATTCACAATAGGTTTATTTTCTAAACATAAAAATGATCTTCTAACAGTAGAATTCAAAACATTACGTAATATTTCTGATGTAATCATAATAAATGTGCCAATGAAAAAGGTCCATTAGTTTTTTGATATCTCTTCAAATAAAGTCAGGGAAAAATAAAAACGATTTGGGCAAATTTTAGATTTTCCCAAATTTCTCTGTAAGCCATGAAATTTTTTACAAATTTCTCGACGGCATGTAAATACGCCCTCATAGAACGCAGCTTTTTCCTAATTTAACCTAAGCTGCATCTTTCACAGGCATTGAGATCCTCATACATAGGATCCTTATCTGGGACACCCTGTATATGAAGTGGAACCTCCTGTTGGCGCAGACCGTCTAGTATTTGAGGATATCCTCGTTTGCATAGTGATGTATAGTTTATTTATCTATGTAAATGCATTGAATGAGGGTAAGTCAAATATTGTTTTATTATTATTAGGAATAAAAGTATATTTTTTGTAACATGATCAAGTGACCTTTTTCAGTTTCAAATAAGTACCCATTTTCATACTTTCTGAATTAGAACAAAGAATTGCATCTAGTGAATGGTGATATACTCGTATTATACCCTGTTTCTAGATAATCAGAAAAATAATTGATGAAACTTGATCCCATATATAATACGCCCGCATCCAATGAACATAAAATATATCGAATTTTGATACGGTTATAAAATTCAAAGTTTTGATATCTAAGATTTGTCAGAGCACTCTTTTAATATACATCATTCAGGTAAATTACAATTTGTTTTTTAAATTCCAAATATCCAAACATACGTTTAAGTCTAAATAAAATAATTCGTTAAAACTAGCCAAATACCTTTACCTAAACGAATTGAACAAATTTATAATGACTTGTTTTACTTGGAGCTGGTAAAGTTAGTTTATTAGTTCGTTAATTTTAAATAAATGGTTGAATTAAAGTAATTTCATAGATTTAAGTAAACTGTTTTAGAAATTGGAGTTTAATCAAACTAATCAAACTTGTTAGCTGTCACATACTTAATTAAGTTTTTCAATTGGCATAATCAAAATTTTAATTGGTATAATTATGTTTTTATCTTAGTGTGATAATAAAAGAGCGAGCGGGTTGGCTGGTCGATCTCGATTCTTAGAAACCCCACTAGACCAGGAAATAGGTCATTCTTTCATAAAATTTTGGCAACAGTAAATTTTTTGATGATATCGTCTTATTGAATAATAATGATAAGTTCAAATTGAAGTCATACTAGGGCTGGAGCATTTACCGCCATTTTGAAAAACGCGTATGATCGAAAATTTCGATAACCATCGATCCTACGTAAAGTAATATTTATATTTATATAAATTTTAAGTTTTGCATATGGAAATAAAACAACACGTTAGGTAGTTTTAAATGACTTTATTGTTTTTCTATTAGTAGTACTAGTATTCTCCACGAAGATTAATATACATTTGCATGCGCTCGAACTAATTTTCGACGCACTTATTCCACTCGTTTGCTGGCAGATCTAAAACGGCATTTTTGAATGCGTCAACTGCTTCTTCTGGTGACTGGAACCTTTGACCACACAGTCTGTTTTTAATTTTTGGGAAAGTAAAGAAATTGTTAGGACTTAGACTGGGACTATATGGAGGATGGTCCAATAATTCCACGTTTTCTTCCGTTAAATACTGCCTTGTTTTTTGGGCTGTGTGCGAGCTTGCATCGTCTTGGTGGAGGATGATTCTTCTTTCGGGGTTGATTTTTCGAAGCTCGGTGATGACTTTTGGCAAACAATTGGTGGTATAAAAATCTGCAGTAACAGTTCTTTGCTCATTAAGAGGAATTGTTGCAATATGACCCGCTTTTGATACAAATGTCGCGACCATCTTTTTCGAAACACTTCGAGAACGGATGACTTTTGTTGGCTTTTCTTCAACTTGGAACACCCATACAGCCGACTGTCGTTTATTTTCTGGTTCATAACACTAAATCCACGATTAATCACCACTAACAATGCTGTACACATTTTTTGAGTTTCTGGAATTGAAACGGTCAAGCGTTTTTTGACACCAATTCACCCTGGCTGCTTTGTGCTCTTCAGTCAACAGGTGGGGTATCCAACGAGAAACTAATTTTCCTCCTAACTCCTAATTCTTCATGTAAAATTTTTTGAATTGAAGTCTTTGAGATCTTCAAGGACTCCTCAATCTCGCGATATGTCACATGTCTATCTTCAATGATGAGTTTACGCACAGCATCGACGTTTTCTTGGGTGACTGCCGTTTTTGGTGCACCTACCCTGGAATCGTCGCTAAGACTCACCCGTCCACGTTTGAATTCTCCATACCAACGGAAAATTGTCGACTGATGTGGCGCTTCGTTGCCGAAAACAGACAGTAACTCAGCAAGGCATTCTTGTTGCGATAATTGTCTCTGAAAATTGTAATAAATTATGGCGCGAAAATGTTCTCGGTTGAGTTCCATTTTTCTAATGTCTTGGTGACACCTAAAAATTCACTGTAGTGAGAACACTGCACGTATTGTTGTGAAACTTTGAATTTATGTTTACTATGGAGTGAGGTCAAGATTCAGTACTGACGTTCGATCTGCGCGGCCTACTATGTTTCTATATGCAAAACTTAAAAGACATCCCTCGGAGAAACAATTTTGTAGGGAATTAAATGTATTATCGTTACGAGAAATTTAAGGCTAAAGGTACATGTAATGACATTTTCGCTTGTTATAGCTAAACTAACAACCTAAGCTTATAAAGACTACTGTCCTTTTTTGTATAACAGATTTTTTGAACACATTGATCGTTCTTCAAGTATAAGAAGCGAAAGTCAAAGATTCGTATCAAAACAGTCGCACTGCAAACTCCGCACTCTACGTACGTTGTCCACTTGTCAGCATATATGTTTTCCATTCCGTGAATCCATTTTTTTACTGTGACGCGTAAGTATGGAAAATGGAATATTTTCGGATACTTTAGGATGTCTTCAGCATGAAAACTTTATTATCTTGAGCAACAGTTTAAAGCTGCTATGGAAGTACTTTTAAAACCATTTTAACTTCAGTAAAGTAAACTACAAAATACTTACTTTTGAAGATAATGTTTGACTATGTACAAAAGCCAATGGAAGATGCTAATTAATCAACCAAATAGATTAGTTGCGCCTCTTCATTTTTCACTTAAGAAATTTTATTTATTCCAGTATCTTATTTTTAAGCAGATTATGTGACACAAAAATCAAAATTTCAGGGGTTATCAACTTAGTTTGATAAACATTTTTTCTGAAATAATGCCTGAAAATAAACTGATAATGCTTTGGAAACTCACAATTCCACAATCGGATTCAGTTTTTTCATAACATCTGAAACATCTGAAACTCATTGGGTGGCTTTCATGTCGATAATCCTCCATGTTTTGTCTGGCCAATGAAACTACATTAGTTTAAAATTCTTCTTTGATGTTTACGTTTTTATCATAATGATGACACTTTTTGGCAATATTATATTTATCTGTCTTCCAGGTGGCACTCCGTTTGTTTTTTCTATTCATTTTCAGATTCTTATACAGTGTGTTACAACAATTGCGAAGCCATCGTTCAAAATTTCAAGATGGCACCATGCAAAGCCAACATAGCCCAGGAGCGTCTGGGGTAGACTTTCCCGCTCCCAAAATGTCGTCTAACCCTCCAAAAACAAGCGAGCATGAGATTTTCTGTCGTTTTTTGATGCAGCATATACATCATCCTCATCCATCGTTCCTCCAAAACGTGAAAACCCATCCAGAACTGTTGCCGCAACACACACCGGTTAATTGGATGAAAAACTTATGGCCGATTAGTTGAATAGGCAGCCGGTCTAGGGATTGCTTTGTTTCATTACTAAACAACAAGCAGCTAACACAGATGTGACAAAACAGGCGACGCCTGTAACAATGACAAAGAAGACTCATGAGCCTGCTTTATCTCGACCTCAGGGGGATAACACTGAGGATGAGGGATTTCAGGTTGTCAGAAACAGAAAAGACAGGCGAACGGATACAGTCCACTCCCTACAACACCAAAATAGAGATACAAGCAAATTTAAACAGGTGCAGAGCGGCACACGATTTGTGGATAGGCTCAAATGACCGATGTTAAATTAATTATAAAGCAAACCATTGAAGAATTGCTCAGTGATGATAAATTCTTTACGCTTATTTCAGATAATATCGAACAGAAGCTGGGTATAAAGGAATCTCAACAAAAAATGGTCGAGATAGAAAACAAATAGTGGACCTGAGACATGCTAAGAATAAGCTAGAGTGTGATTTGGAAAAATTTCAACAACATGCACGTCGGAAATCTTTTAGAATAGTTGGCATGAAGGAATCACATGGTACAAGTGTCCTGGAGCAGGTGCTTATCTTATGCGAAGATAACCTAAAAACTCGAGTTTTGGAAGAGAATATTGAAAATTGTTTTTGGTTAGGAAGAAAAAAGAACGAACAGCATTCTGTCTTGTTTACTGTAAATTCTCATAACCTGAAAATGAAGCTTCTGAGAAACAGGAAGTTGCTGAAAGGTGCAGGAATAACTCTTACTGAAGATATGTCGCCTGCTCGATGTAACCTGTATCAAAAGGCCGTGCAGAAATGGGGTAAGCAGAAAACCGGGTTTTATAACGGAGAAATATGGGTGAAACTGCGAGAAAACAAGTTACAGATAGTTAGTGCTTTTTTCTTTTCTTTTTTTTTTCTCCTTCCTTTTCTCCGAATTGTAACTTGTTACATAACTGTGCCATTGTTTAGTTGTAGCAGTTTAGTTAGTTTCAGTTTTTTCTGCATTCATATTGAGTTTAGCTTGATTTGTATATGACTGATATTGATACAGCTTTGAATATTTTAGAGGATTATAACAATATCACGACCATCAGTTGTTCTAATTTTGATGAATTAAATAGTGTTCTGTTTGAGAGAAGTGATAAGTTAAACTTCACTATACTTCATTACAATATCAAGAGCTTGCAAGCTCACTATGATGAGCTTTGTATGAACATTTTGAGTGAGACCTGGAATATCAGTAATATCAACAGTTATAAAATAAATGTCTTCCAAATTTACTATAATGAAGCTAAGTATAATAAATGCGATGAGAGATGTTTCCATAAAAATGATAGATGTAGTGACGGCATTGAATTGTAGCTTTATTTTCAACAATAACAGTTTCAGTATTACTGGTATCTACAGGCCTAATCCCACGAATGTACAGGATTTTGTAAACAATTTGGATTCGTATTTGAGAAGTACTGCAAACTGTGACATTTCGTTGTTGGTGGGTGATATAAATATAGAATTATTGAGAGAACATGAATACCGCAGTTTAAGATTAAATAAAGTCAAATGTTGGTTGGATAACAATTTACTTAAACTTAATATCTCTAAAACTAAGTATGTAACGTTTTCTCCAACCAAAGCAGGCATGCCATTACAACACTGAACATTAATTATAAATGATAGTGCTGACACTGTCGAAAGAGTTGAAGTTATTAGATACTTAGGAATCACTATTGACAGTAATTTAAAATGCCGAGCTTTGGCATCGAAATTAAGGAGAATTATTCATATTTTTTTCATTCTTAGGAATATTTTAAGCAGAAAGAGTCTTTTCTCAATATATAACTCGTTTGTGGGGTCTCTACTAACTTACGGGATAAGTACGTAGATAAGATGTGGCAACGTGGTATGGATGTGGCAACGTGGTATGGAGCTATGCGGTATAGCCTGTTAGGATTATTCGGATTTTCGCTATTTCTAAGTTAATAAATTTTTCGAAAAGTGCATCTGTGAACATCTGGACGTGTGGTGATCAGTTTGGATATAAAGATTGCCTATATTTGCATTCTCAAAAGTGTATACAGTACGGTCGGGTTCTGGAATGCGGCGTGAACAGTGAGCGCCGTTGTCACGTTGTAACAAGATTCCGGTTACCATGAGCTATTCCGGTGGAGAAACAAAACGGACAACTTCACGTTCGGTTAGCAGTTCATGTGAATGTGCTGGTTTGGCTCAGATATTATCTGACGTCAAAAAGAAACTGGATGCTTGCTATAAAATAATTAATGGTCAAAACTCAAAAATAGAAGAGCTCACTACAACCGTTGCTGATTTATGTAAAAAACTGGAGGAGAATGAGAAGAATAGAGAAACAAACATGGTCGTTGGTGAGCCCAAGGTTTCTTACAGCAATGCTGTAAAGGGAAACACGAGTAGAGGTCATGTATTGCTGGTGAAGCCTAACAGTAACATCGATGTAGCATCCTTGAAGCAGAAACTGCTGAGTAAGGTAAATCCTGAAAGTCTTCAAGTCGGTGTGCAAATCAATAAAGCTAATAATAACGGTGACATTGTTCTGAAGTGCGATAACCAACGGTCGTTAGAAATAATTAAGAAATCGATTGAAACTAATTTGTCAGGCAATTGCTCTGTTCAACTGCCAAAAAAGCGAAATCCTCGAATTAGAGTGATAGGTGTTAACAAAGATCAGTATGATGTTGATTCTCAAGTTCTTAAAAGCAAAATTGTGAATCAAAATAGCAGGCTCGTCAGCCATGATTACGCTGTTCTTAATATAGTATATAAGTTTCCAATTAAAGGTGCAAAATTTGATCTTGTTATGGAGCTAGATCCTAAGTCATATCAGTCAGTGATAGGGGAAGGGAAGTTGAATATTGGATGGGATAGATGTCGTATTTATGAGCATTTGTCAGTGACACGCTGTTTTAAGTGTTGTCAGTATGGCCATATACAAAAAAATTGTAAAAATGCATTTGTATGTCCTATTTGTGCTGGCAGTCATGAACGGAAGCAGTGTAAAAGCAAATCGTCATGCTGTGCAAACTGTCTGTCTATTAATGAAAAACAAGATAAAACGCTAGATACGAACCATGCTGTGTGGGATAGTAATTGTCTGTGTTTGCAAAAACATGAGGGTCTTATACGAAGTAAGACAAATTACTTCGAATAGATAAGTGCATTTTATCTAATCTCTGTTTTAATTTTTACTGGAAGTTTATCCCATCTCAACTTCAACTCAACTTCAACTTTATCTCAAACTTTTTAAAAAACTTTTCATTTTTTATCCTTTTATCTTTTTTTAATCTGTTTTTTGTGTTTTTTTTGCTGTATTTATAAATGACTGTATTATCAGAATTTGATGTCATCGAAGGCGGAGAGCATAATTTGATCATAGGATGTGTAAATATTAGATCACTTACTAGCTGTTTTTGTGATGTTAAAGATTATGTGTTGTCGCAAAATTTTGATATCATCGGATTCACCGAAACGTGGCTCAAACCACACATCACTGATAATGATATCCATGTTCCAGGATTTCAGTTGTTTAGATGTGACAGGAAAGATAGGAGAGGCGGTGGAGTCGCTCTCTATGTGAGAAAAGGACTGCATTGCTTCCAAGTATCTGATTTTAACTTTGCAACACAAGAGGGCCTTGAACAACTTTGGGTTAGGGTTAAAATAAACAAAAAAGCATTTGCTGTGGGTGTTGTGTACAAACCTCCCAATGTTGATTATACAGCTTTGACAGGCCTGGAAGACTCACTACTTACTGTTTTCACATCATCTGATCATATAGTATGCATGGGTGATCTAAATATAAATGTTTTGAATAAACAAGGCCTGGACTATTCATTCATGTCAACAATTTTCGAGGATTTCAATTTGAATCAAATAGTAAGTCAGGAAACAAGAGTAACAGATAACAGCAGAAGTCTGATAGATGTGGTATTCGTAGATAAAAACTTAAACATCACAAAAACCGGAGCTGTAAATCTACCTTTCACGGATCATTATTTGGTATACTTTTGTACAGATTATCCAGCCAGCGTCTACAGACAAACATATATACGTATCCGCGATTTAAGGAATTTAGATACCAACTTACTTGCTGAGGTAGCTTCATCAATGTACTGGTTAGGAGTTATCAACTTCGAAAATCTTGAATCCAAGCTAAGCTACTTGTATGATTTGATCAATATTTTGCTAGACATATGCGCGCCCATCAAAACAGTAAAAGTGACAAAGCCACGCTATCCTTGGATCACCCAAAACATTAAGTTCATGATGAGATTGAGAAACAATGCATATATGAAATATAAAAAAGGGGTAAGGGATGCTCTTTCTGCAGATTTGATCAATGTCAAATGGGTTTATTATAAACAACTCAGAAATTTTGTAACAGCTTCCATAAGAAGAGAAAAAAAAGCCTATATAGAACTGCAGCTTAAAGAAGGTAGAAGTTCCCGTGATTGGTGGCGAACCATCAAACAACTAGGTGTACATAATCCTGTTAAAGATAATTTAGAATGCACATTGCAACCTGATTTAGTGAACAAATATTTCCTAAATTCCATTCCAGATAATTGTGTGGATACCAGTATTATTCATCATTACAATAGCAATGTTTTGCCATCTATAGACAACTTGTTTCAGTTAAAACCGGTCACGGAGGATAAAATATTACAGATTTTCAATAAAATAAAATCTCGGGCGGTTGGACTAGATGGTTTGAATATAAATATGTTAGCTCTAGTGTTTCCTTTTTGTTCTAAAGCGATTACTCATATAATTAACTATTCGCTTGAAAAAGGGTTAGTTCCTAAAATTTGGAAAGCCGCATGCGTTAGGCCTCTTGCTAAAGTTGATGCTCCGGAAGGACCTGATGATTATAGACCAATTAGTATCCTTCCAGTGTTATCAAAACTATTAGAAAAAATTGTATATGAGCAACTGATGCAGCACGTCACTACCTTTAAGATAATTCCATCTACGCAGTCGGGGTTTCGAAAAAACCACAGCACCGTAACAACTCTGCTCGATGTCTGTGACGACTTCATAGGGGCAATAGACAATTCTAAAGTTACTACTGCTGTCATGATAGATCTAAGTAAGGCCTTTGATTGCCTCAACCATGAACTACTTTTTGCAAAATTTCATTATCTTGGCTTCTCCGATAGTTCGATTAATTGGTTTCGCAGTTATTTTCATGAACGCATTCAGCAGGTAAAAATCGGTGACATCTTATCACAGGAGGGTACTATCTCCAAAGGTATACCACAGGGGTCTATTCTTGGACCTCTTCTGTTTTCTCTTTATGTAGCGGACTTAGATAAAGTCACTAAATACTGCAAATTACATACATACGCCGATGATACACAGATTTATCTATCTTACAACCCTGCTATGTACATTGAAGCGAATGAGATGCTGTCTGAGGATTTAAATAGTATATGTGTGTGGTATAACAAACATGGCTTATGTATTAACCCTAGAAAGTCGGCTATCATAACTATTAAATCTAAATTCAGCAAATTCAATAGTGAATTAATAAAGCTGTGTATTGGAGGTGATGAAGTTTGCCACAAGACATCGGTTCGCAACTTGGGCATCACATTTGATGAGAACCTGTGCTTCCATGATCATGTCACCAAAGTTGTTCAGGGTTCCTATGCTAAGTTGAAGTCAATTTATAGCTATAAAAATGTATTGTCCAAGCAGACCAAGGTTAAGCTGTGTGACTCCCTTATCCTAAGTAAACTTGAATACGGGGACCTTGTCTATGGTCCATGTCTAATACAGAGCGAGGCATACAGACTTCAAAAAGTGCAAAACAGCTGCATAAGATTCAGTTTAGGTATTCAAAGGCGGGAGAGGGTATCTGATCATATTAAAAATATTCAATGGCTTACTATGCGACAAAGGTGGATACTGCATCTATTATCATTGGTCCACAGTATTATGATCAATAAAATGCCTCTTTATTTGAAGAACAAGCTTACCATGAGATGTGATCATCACTCAGCGAACCTGCGTTTTGTAGGATATACTCTCGACTTGCCTCGACACCGAACAACCCAATTCAGAAAGAGCTTTTCATATGTGGCGCCCGATTTCTACAATAAAGTACCTCAAGCATTGAAAACTTTATCTGTGTCCAGCTTTAAAAGAAAAGTTAGGCTCTTTGTCTTTGATGACATGTAGCATGTATTTTTTTTTTTGATTTCATCTAGCATGTATTTTTACGTAATTTTGTTTTTATATTTGTTTATTTGTGCATGTTTTCTCACTCGTCACTTTTCATTTGTTTGTGTTTTGCTTACACATTTGTTACTGTTTACTTTTAATTTTTATATCTTCTGCCATATACCTAATATTTTCTTTTTTAAAGTTACTTCTAATCACGGTTTTTGATTCTGCTACGTACTCTGTTGCTGCACGTTTCTCTTTTGGTCTTTTGGTCATTATACTATGCTACGATTCTGTAAAAAAAAATTTTTTTTTTTCTGCTTTAAATGTTATCTTCAATGTATTTTTGTTGTATTTGCATGTACTTGATTTTTTTTTTTTTTTTTTTTTTTTTAGCCCTGGTTGGTTCTGAAAAACAGCTTGTGCTGATGTAACCCGCCAGGTAAAATAAAGGCCATTTATTATTATTATTATTATTTAAGTATATGGGGAGCCGCATACACTAGTACTTTAAAAATACTACAAACCACGCAAAATTATATTGTCATGTCTATTTTTCGTATCTCATGTAGGTCAAGTTGCAGATTTGTTTACATTGAAAATTATCTTTTGAATGTTAGAGGTTTATATATTTTTGCTGCTCTGAAATGTGTTCACTCCAGAGACAATGTTCCAACCAGCCACGCTTATGAAACAAGAACTAAAACAAATATAAGTTACACTTATACCAGAGTGAATAAATCTGTATGCCAAAAATGCATAAAGTTTGATGGTATTAGGTTGTATAATAAATTACCCCTAGAATATATAATCCTCTCGAAGTATACTTTCAAAAAAAGAATTAAGAAGTTCATCTTAAATAACTTTGACATGCTTGCATCGACTGTAGCTTGACTCAACTCAGTCATTTCGTTTCTATCTAATGTTTTTATTTCTTTTTTATATACATTTGCTCATAATATACTTTATGACCATTAGGCATGCATTGAATTTGTATATTGTATGACACACACAAGCTTATAGCTTAGGTGTCTATTCTTTTGTAGTAAATTGTAGTACTCTTGTTTCTCTGCTTAACTTTTACGCAAATTTTTTATTGTGTAAACAACATAGTTTGACCTTACTCGAAATATCCCTATATTATCATATTTCAGATATTTGTATTTTATGTACTCTATATTTATGCTTCTGAGTGTTTTTAGTATGCTTCTGTACTATTGTTATGAATTTTAGATTTGTTTATTCAGACACGTAATTTAGGATTTGTGACGACAAGATTCAGACATTTACCCTTTACGAAAGTATACAGAATTTTCACAATTCATATACCGTTACTTGCTGGCTCTAGATCTGATGCTGGTATCTTTGCTTAGATTTCTGTTGCAATCTTGGTTATTCAGGGTAGCAAGAGCATATTTAAATTATATTGAAGGTTGTTTTTATTTTGTAAATTATATTGGTTTTTGAATTTGAATACTTTGATTGATTGATTGATTGAAAAAAAAAATAAGTGTTTTTGTCGATGCTTTTGTGGGTGGGTCTCTCCACACCGTACTGCTGGATACATGTGCAACAAAGACTATCATAAGGCCCGACATGGTGAAAGCATCGGCGAAGGTTCGACCATCCAAGTGGCGACTACGAACGGCGACGGGAGTCCGAGCAAACGTGTATGGAGAAGTAAACATCGCATTTGGAATAGGAAAAGCTACATTCGAACATCCGGCGATAGTAGCTGATATTCAGGACGAGGTAATCATGGGAATGAGCACACAGGGCTTCCAGTTGAACTTTAAGCAAGGAATCTTGAAAGTCAACAATGAGGAGGTCATTTTACATCGGGAAAGGGATGGAAACGTACGAGTTCTATTGCCTGAAGACACCGAGATCCCAGAACGAAGCGAAGTTGTATTGAATGGCTCGATAGAGGGCCAGACTACAAACGAAGAAATAGTCATGTTTGAACTTAGGATGGATGACGAGGTTATTGGCCGAGTGATAGCCGTTGCAAAGGCCCTTGTGCGTGCATTACCCTGTGTTCTTGAAGAAGGGCTCGGAGCTGGGATACTGCTGTCCAGTTTCTGCAATCATTCGAAATATGAGAGCCGTGGAAAACTCAGGGGTCATTCCTAAGGAACTGGAAGAACTGATTTCGTCATCAGGCAGAGATCTAAGACCAGACCAAAGAAAGAAACTGAAACATCTAATACATAGATATCGGGATGTATTCGATACTGGACAAAAAGGAAGAACCAATATAGTCCAGCACAAGATCAATACGGAAAATGCCCGCCCCATCCGGCAGATGGCAAGAAGACTCCCACTTGCTAAAAGACAGTCCATGGGCCTCACCGGTAGTTTTGGTTAAGAAGAAAGATGGTTCAACCAGATTTTGTGTGAACTACCGAATGTTAAACAACGTGACCAAGGACAGCTACCCGCTACCGCGTATCGATGACACTCTGAAAACCCTGGCTGGATGAAAAATATTTTCCACCCTAGACCTTAAAAGCGGATACTGGCAAGTAGTAGCCCCTGAAGATCGGTAGAAGACAGCATTCATGGTTGGCACCGGATTATGGCACTTTAATGTGATGCCATTTGGCTTGTGCAATGCTCCTGCCACCTTTGAAAGGCTGATCGACACGATTCTAAGAGGACTACCCTGGAAAACGTGCCTGGTTTACCTTGATGACATTATCGTGGTGGGAAAATCATATGAGGGCCACAAGAAAAACCTAGAGGAAGTTTTCTTAAGGCTACGAGGTTCTGACTTGAAATTGAGCCCAAAGAAATGCCACCTGTTTCAAAGAGCTGTGCAGTATCTTAGCCATGTTGCTTCCAGTCAGGGAGTCGCGGTCGACAAGGAGAAAATCCAGACTGTAAAAGAATGTCCAGTTCCGAAGCACAAACGTGAGCTACGCAGCTTCCTAGGATTGTGTACGTATTACCGACGTTACGTAGAAGGATTTGCTAACATCGCAAAACCACTGACCAGGCTGACAGAAGGGGAACGCAAATTCCAACGGGATCAGGAATCAATTGAAAGAAGCTTTGACAAGCGCCCCTACACTCCTCAGCTATCTACTGCCAGAAGGAAAGTTTGTGTTAGACACTGATGCTAGCAACGTGGGTATAGGTGCTGTATTATCCCAAGTACAGGAAGGCAAAGAAGAGAAAGTCATTGGATATTTTAGCAAAACGCTGTCCAAAACCAGAGCGTAACTATTGCGTTACCCGGAGGGAGCTGCTGGCCATCGTAAAGGCATTGGAACATTTCTACAAATACCTCTATGGCAGAAAATTCTTACTCCGGACCGATCACGCAGCTTTAAAATGGCTTCTCCAGTTTAAGAATCCAGAGGGTCAAGTTGCAAGATAGATAGAGATTGTAAGCATTGCCAGCGGGCAGAGGAAAAAGACGACCAAGTATTAAGAACCGCTATGGTTAGAGAAAATTGGCAAAATGAAGACTTCATTAAAGATCAAGAGAGCGACCCCGATCTCCAGGTAATTCTAAACTGGATGAAAGAAAAACGAAAGCCAGTCTGGGAAGAAGTTGCCAAGTACTCCCGTACCATAAAATCATATTGGGCACAATGGAATTCTCTCATTATGGACGACGGACCCTTACTGCGTAAAATGGTGGACCACGACGGCAAAGAGGAAAGAAGACAAATCGTTATCCCCAGATGTCAAATCCCGGAGCTGCTGGAAGAAATCAATTCCGGTGTATCAGGAGATCATCTCGGAGTTACAAAAACCCTGGGAAAGGTGAGGGAAAGATTTTACTGGGTCAATAGCAAGGAGGACGTGAAAGACTGGTGCAGGAAATGCGTAGTGTGCGGGAAGTAATGGGCCACAAAGGAAACCAAAAGCTTCGATGCGCCAATACAACGTGGGGAGCCCCTTTGAAAGGATTGCTATTGATGTGGCGGGACCCTTTCCAGAAAGTGAAGCTGGAAATAAATACATCGTTGTGGTTATGGATTACTTCAGCAAGTGGGTTGAGGCATACGCTCTGCCAAATCAGGAAGCCTCTACGGTAGCCGATGCTTTAGTAAAGGAATGGATCAGTCGATTTGGTGCACCTTTAGAGTTGCATTCGGACCAAGGGCGCAATTTCGAGTCAAATCTGTTCCAAAGTATCTGTCAAATGTATCTGTCAAATTCTTGGAATTAAGAAGACCAGGAATACAGCCTTACACCCGCAGTCACATGAAATGGTGGAGCGCATGAATAGGACCATTAACCGGTATCTGGCTAAGGTAGTCTCTAGCCATCAAAGAGACTGGGATAGTTTTCTTCAGCTCTTCTTATTTGCTTACCGATCGTCGATTCATGAAAGCACAGGAGAGACCCCGGCTCGAATAGTTATGGGAAGAGAACTTCGTCTCCCATGCGATCTAAAGTTTGGCTGTCCACCAGGAACTGATATTGCCGGAGAAGACTACGTAAGTGAGCTGCGTAGAAGAATGGACGCCATCCATAGCCAGGTTCGTGTTTCAATTCAAGGTGCCATCAACCGGATGAAGGAAGCTTATGACGTTAATGCCAAAGACCAGAGTTATGACAAAGGTGATACGGTTTGGCTTTACGACCCAAAGAGGCGAAAACTTCGCCTAAACTTCAATCATCCTGGGACGGGCCATACAAAGTTCTGAAGGCCATCAACGATGTTCTCTACAGGATTCAGAAGGCACCACGCAGTAAAACCCGAATTGTACATTTCATCCGCCTTGCATCTTATCATGGAAACAACGAAGATGCGGCGGTGCGGCAAATCCAACCAGAACCGGACATGACATTTGACCAATTTATGGCTCACCATGCTAATGGCCATAAGAGTCGGTATGGCGTGACATGTGAAGTACAGCAAGATTTGTTTACCACTTCACTAGAGTATGCCCTGGCACACTGTGTGGCTCAAAACTTGCGAATGTCTAGAGGTACAACAAATAGCAAAGGTCTTTCTTAGGAAGTTTGAAAGAGTGCACGAGCTGCGACAATCTGACCCAGAAGTCGGAGAAGTACTCCAGATAACTGAAGAGGATACCAACCGAAAGATCTTCTATCTGGTTACCAAGAAAGCTTCGTATCAGAAACCGAATTACGAAGACCTTTGGAACGCTTTGTGTTCGCTTAGAGAAGTCTTGCTTGCCGCGGACCTGAGAAAACTGGCAATACCTAAGCTGGCTTGTGGATTGGACAACCTGGACTGGAGTATCATCCGAAGCATGCCGGAGGTAGTCTTCCGGTATACAGGCATTCGATTTCTGTTATGTTGCCTAGACGGCTACCTCCTGGAAAGAGTGTGGATTATTACTTCTTCAAGAACTCCTACTGCAAGAGAGGGCCGTCGTACCGATATCGACATCCACCGTCAGTAAGATCATTCCGGGACGGAATGACTTTAGGTAGGGGCCAGTGTGACGAATCATACTGTCGGCGCCATCTGTTGGGTGAGTCTCCTACTCGCTAGAGCTTCATGGCCGATCTCTGCTTTTACGCGAATCACGACCGCACCATCAGCCACCTGACGGCGGGTGTCCATCTAGATCGACGCGAAGCAGCCTCGACTATTCGGGAAGGTCGCTATGTGGCTCCCGATTCTTCTAGACTCAACGACGCGGACTATACAGGGTGTCCGCAAAGTTGGGGTTTTCCTTTTCAGAAACAACTACCCTTGAAATAACAAAGGTAATGTGTAGTGACACGAGGGCGACCAAGTAAAAAAAAATAAAGGAAAAAGTACTCACTCTCCAGTTGACGAGAAGGGCTAAGTACGTCTCTGCCCGAAATCATACCGCTCCAACAGAAAATGAAATCAGCTGATGCGCTACCGAGCAGACGCCGGCGGTGGTGCAGACCACGAACAGAGGTAACAAATAAGACGGCGTTGCCGCGTTTTCAGTTTTTAGGTAAACGTACTTTATAGGTATTGTTCGAAGTTATCGCCGTTTGATTCAAAAACACAGGTGCGTGCACGACGTAGCCAAGCATCGGTGCAGGCTTTGAGAATGGAGTCCCTCCCCCGAATGAAAGCACCAGCTTGTTCAATTCTGAGACGAAGTTCGTCAACCGTATGCACTTCAGTTTTGTACACTAATCGTTTCATTTCTCCCCAAAGAAAAAAATCACATGGTGTTAGGTCTGGAGATCGCGGAGGCCACGCTACGGGTCCATTACGTCCGATCCACCTATTCGGAAATAATTCATTCAAAAACTCACGCACTTCGCGTCTAAAATGGGGCGGTGCACCATCGTGCAGAAACCACATTGATTGTCTTACACTTAATGGCACATCTTCTAACAAGGAAGGCAAAATGTTGTGTAAAAAGTCTAGGTATTGCATCCCGTCCAATCGATTCGGGAGAATAAATGGTCCAATGCGCTTACCGTTCACCATGCCAGCTCAAACATTCACCGAAAATGTTTGTTGAAAATGTGCCCGACGGACAGCGTGCGGATTTTCTACTGACCAAACATGAGTGTTGCGAAAGTTATTCACCCCATTACGCGTGAACGTAGATTCGTCTGTCACCAATATGAACTTCAAAAAGTCCGGATTATTGTCATGTTGATGCAACAACCACTCACAAAACCGCACTATTGCTGGAAAATCGTCAGGTTGAAGGGCACACTTTAGTTTTTGATACTTGCACCTCTCTAGTGCTTGTTGAGGGATTCTCGCCTACGCGATTCAGTAGTTCTTCCTTAACTTGCACCATTCTTGGTTGTCTAGACCTCACACTGTGCCCACCTCGAAATTCCTCCAAATGGCCCGTATCCCTGACTCTCTGGACCAGGTGCACAAATCTGCGGGGCCTTGGATGATGTCGTCTAGGGATACGATCTGCATACATTCGCTATAAATTAACAACATACAGGGTGTCCGCAAAGTTGGGGTTTTCCTTTACACGACGTGTAGATCTTGAAAACATAAGCAATTTTTCTTAGTACCATATACACCAATGTCTTAAGGGAACCGAGATAAAGGGCTCTGCAACATCAAAAAAATCTTAATACCGTCCTGTAGCCGCGACCCGCGATATCTCAGATTGGTACCGGCTACTAGCTGAACCCGACGACAGAACTGGGTCAGGGGTCGGGGTCAATGTGTCAGGTCAGTCTGCAACCTTCAACCGACGGTAAAGGGTCACGCGTATAGAGGTAACGAACCCGTATAATCGATTGCGTTTCAAAAAAAAAAAATAATAATGGCACACTCATACACCAATAATGAACTCGTTAATATGCTAATTTATGGCGAATGTCTTCAAAATGATACAGAATCGTCGCGAGTGTATGCAGATCGTTTCCCTAGACGACATCATCCAAGGTCCCGCAGATTTGTGTATCAGAGAGTCAGGGATACGGGCCATTTGGAGGAATTTCGAGGTGGGCACAGTGGGAGGCCTAGACAACCACGAATGGTGCAAGTTGAGGAAGAACTACTGAATCGCGTAGACGAGAATCCCTCAACAAGCACTAGAGACGTGGCTAGAGAAGTGCAAGTATCAAAAACTAAAGTGTGGCAAACGTCCAACGTGTACAAGCCCTTCAACCTGACGATTTTCCAGCAAGAGTGCGGTTTTGTGAGTGGTTATTGCATCAACATGACAATAATCCGGACGTTTTGAAGTGCATATTGGTGACAGACGAATCTACGTTCACGCGTAATGGGGTGAATAACTTTCGATTTCAGGCAGAGACGTACTTAGCCCTTCTCGTCAACTGGAGAGTGAGTACTTTTTCCTTTATTTTTTTTTACTTGGTCGCCCTCGTTTCACTACACATTACCTTTGTTATTTCAAGGGTAGTTGTTTCTGAAAAGGAAAACCCCAACTTTGCGGACACCCTGTATCAACGAGTTCATTATTGGTGTATGAGTGTGATATTATTATTGTTTTTTAAACGCAATCGATTATACGGGTTCGTTTACCTCTACACGCGTGACCGTAACCGTCGGTTGAAGGTTGCATACTGACCTGACACACTGACCCCGACCCAGTTCTGTCGTCGGGTTGAGCTAGTGTCCTAGTACCAATCGGGGATATCGCGGGTCGCGGCTACAGGACGGTATTCAGATATTTTTGATGTTGCAGAGCCCTTTATCTCGGTTCCCTTAAGACATTGGTGTATATGGTACTAAGAAAAATTGCTTGTGTTTTCAAGATCTACACGTCGTGTAAAGGAAAACCCCAACTTTGCCGACACCCTGTATAAATCGGCGGCCGGGAGATGGAAGAGAGTACGGAATACGGTAGAGTAGAGCAGAGGAAGTGTCCAGTCAGTGGCGCGACTAAAGAATTAGTTAGACGTAAATAGTGGTGTATATAAATGTTTTATCCAGTTAAATAACTTAGTGCATTTCTTTTTGTGGAATCCAGTGTTTTAATCCACACAGAAAAGAACCCAGAAAGAAACGCTACAATTGGATTACTGAATAATGTGTCTTCGTATGGGAATTTTAAGCTTTTCTCAGCAGTTCTTTTTTTTATTCATGTCAATATCTCAAGTATTGAAGAATATATGCTGTTTTGAAGAAAACGAGGCGAATCATAGCCATAAACAAGAAATTGTTTTAAGCAGGCAAAAACGACACCGGAACAAGTAGCGCAAGCTATAGCTTTACAAGATGATGGTCGTCCTATTCGGTATATCGCAGAAAGGCTTGCCGTTCCACGCTGTACGGTATTCGATGCGATACGAAGAAGAGAAACAGGTTCTTACTCAAGAAGACCTGGGCAAGGAAGACAGAAAGCAACAAACGCAGTTGAAGATCGGTTTCTGAGACTTCAAGTTCTTCGAGAAAGGACAGTTCCTGCTACAGCTTTGACTCGAAGATTGTACAATAGTTTCACCTGATACCGTACGCCGAAGGTTGAGAGAAGGAAACCTATCATCTTGCGTACCTGCTACAGGTCCTCTATTGGATGTAGGTCATCGAAAGCAGCGCTTGGTATTTTCTCGAACTCATGCAGATTGAGATATGGACGACTGGAAAAACGTTCTTTTTACAGACAAGTCTCGATTTACGAGATATTCACCTGATGGTCGCCAAAGAGGTGGAGAAGGCGTGAAGAAACAAAGTTGTTTCGCTTCTAGAGTGCAATTTGGTGGTGGAGGAGTAATGGTATGTGGCGATATTTCTTTGGAATTCCGCACAGATCTTGTTTCGCTACAAGGAGGATACCTTACTGCCGACAGAGGTACATTAGAGAGTGTTTGGTAGAACATGTGGTTCCTCATATGCCCTTTATAGGAGAAAATTTACTCCTAATGCAAGATAATGCTCGGCCGCATATAGTCGGAATGACTAGGCAATACCTCAATGATGTTGGAATACAAGTACTAGACTGGCCACCAAGGAGTCCGGATCTCAACCCCACTGAGCACATGTGGGATACATTAGGAAGAAGGCTTAGGCAGAACTATGGAGAATTCAAACTATAGCTGCGTTGGAACAGGTACTGGTAAACGAGTGGGAGCAAATACCCCAAGACACAATAGCTGGTTTAATTGAGTCTATTCCAGAGAGGATGAGAGCTGTTTATTCAAGCCCGGGGAGGAAATACTTGTTTCTTATAACAATTTCTTATTACCAATGATGACAATGTAATTTTTTAAGTTAAATTGTTTAGGGTTATGATTCGGGTTCTTACCAATGTTGTTTCTGTAATTTTTCAAATTAAATTGTGTATGGCTATGATTCGCATGATTTTCTTCAAAACAGCATATATTCTTCCATAATTGAGATATTGACATGACTCAAAAACAGAACAGTTGATAAAAGTTGAGGTTTAAAATTCTCATACGATGACACATTATTCAGTAATCCAATGTTTCCACATCCAATGTTTCCACAGGCTGTTCAGAAATTTAGGGCAAAATGCACCTTTTAACTACACGCTGTATAACAACAAACATTTTCAATTTTTTTACAAGATCGGCAGTCGATAATGATGACAATGAAATTACCTACTGCTTGACGAAAAAATTAAGGAAATAGATACAAAGGTTACAAAGTTATTTCAAATTTAAAATTTGTCCGGTTAATTTTTCGTGGCAGTGTATTATTAGTCATTAATCTTACCATAGGCGTCGTAGATAAATCGCTTACTTCGAAGCCTCTCCTTGATATTGGAAAGTTTGCCATAGTTAAACATCATTACACAATACTTCAACAGAACCAACACATGTGCTGCGAACGTCCCAAGAACTTGAAAGAACAATTTTAAATCATTTAGGTTTGTTTTAATCATCATGGCTTCTAATGTTGCAAATGCAAAACCTGAAGAAAACATGAACACATCCCATACGATGCTCAGTGCCATCCTGCATCTTGTGCTATCGTTCATCCAAATTCCGAAGAGTTTGAAATGACTATCAATAGCTGTGAAGCAATCACTGGGCATTTTAATTTTGTAAAGTAATCACACTGGATACGCTCGCTTAAATATATAAGCAAGAAGGGTTACAATAATTTTATTGTAATAGTCTATTGATTGAAGGGGTTTTGTACACTGATAATTATATGTAATTAAAGGTGAGCAGTGAAATTAGTATCTAATTAGAAGGTAGCAGTTTCTGCCCATGTTTTCCATTGGATTTGTATTATAATTGGCACAGCTTTTATTACTGACTGACACCACCATTGTTGTTGTGAATATTGGGGTGAAGATTATAGACGTTCTTACTTCGGAGGCCGCCTTCTTTGGCCATGGCCTCCCTGCATGGGCGCCCGCAACAATGCTTCTCAGAAGGGGCGATCATCGGAAAGAGATAACTCATTTTGAAGGTGTACCTGCCTCCCAAAACGTTTTGAAGGGCGCGGGTAACAGTTTTCCAGGCGGGCCAAATCCTCAAAATTGTACACAAAATCACGCTAAGTGTGCAAATTTAAAATTCCAACCGGAAGGGCCCGCATACTTTTCCGCTCCCAATTACCAAAGATTGTTTATTCTCCAAGCAATATTACCACTGCAGCCACACTACCGCACTTCAATCGACACCGCCAGTTTGCATAGGCAAGGGAGCGCGCTACCATCCACCTCACCCGGAGACTAAAATCTGCTGCGCAGACATGAATCCCTGGACTTGGAACCTATTATTTAGGGTGTACAATTTCGTCTTGCTTGTATTTTTTCACTCTGCAGTTTTCAAAAACGATCACGTGGTATTTATAGGCAGTCAAAAGTAGACTTCTACTAGATACCTCACAAATTCTTTTGGATCTCTGAAAATATATTTTTTGATATGTTCTAGAAGCCACCTTGTGCTTTATGCTATTTTATGTGAACCACTAAGACATCAAAGGGGTGACAATTGCAGGGGTAACTTAAAAACAGACATCTTTTCAATAACTTTATTGTCACAACTATTAGATAGTCAAAACAATAAAAAATCTTAATCTTAAGAACTAGATGCGGCTGCGGTCGCCGGCGCCGTCGCCTTCTCTTCCTCCTTCACCCTGTCCTTCTTAAGAGGACCCATGAAGGCAGCCTTATCTGCTGCAGTCTGGAATCTACCATGACCAAATTTGGATGAAGTATCAATGAACTTCAGGTTGATCTTCTCCAATGCAATACGCTTTGTGTGCACTAACAGAGACTGCAAAATGAAATAGTATAATGAGAACTAGGAATATATAGTATTATTATTGTTCACACTATAGGCACAGAATGAGAGTTCAAATATCTGCTATTTTAAATAGTGCAAAACTTGGGTGGGAAAGCCAATAATGAACATTCAAAATGTACTTTCTCATTGACATTTTTAAATTACACAGGATTGAACTGTAGTAAAAATTATATCTGGTTACACTTCTATTTTGATTCCCAAGGCAGAATAGAAATCAAATATCTGGTAAAAATATGCTATTGTTCCTTAAATTACCTTTCTCAGTGTGATAACACGTTTTTTGGGCCCCATGCAGCAGCCCTTAATCATGATGAAGTCATTATTAACTTCACCATAGTGAGGGAAACCACCCATAGGGGTGATGGTCTTCTCACTAAGATCATATTCTGTAGAAGCATTATTTTTGATGACCTGAAACAATAGAAATAATTTGTGTGAAACACCACTTTTTGTACTACGTTCGTTCAAACTAAGTTCAAGTTACATCAGCCCTATCATTGATAATCATGGATTATTTCATAATCCTTTTGGCTTCTAAAGGTTTCATCATGTTAAACTGGTTAATTCTATAAAAGATTGGTCAATATATCATCCTACATCTTGCTATTATGATAAAAAATACAACTTTACAATAAAGAGTAATATCCATAGATGTGTTATAGGCAACTTTTATTCTGAAAAATTGGATGATAACTTTTCATTTAGAATATGCACTGACACCACAAATATGATTACCTGTAATTCTTTGATAAATGTAGTAAATGACAAAACCTACCTTTCCATCCTTAGTGTGTATTCCTGCACCAATCCTGTAAATCTTCTTGTTCATCTCTGTTCTGTGGTGGTAACCTTTTTGACCAGCCCTAGCAACAGTAAAAGATACCCTTGAAGGATGCCATGCACCAATACAGGCAACCTTACGCAGACCCTTGTGTGTTTTACGAGGCAGCTTCTTAGTGTGCCATCTTGATGTTACACCTGAAAACAAAAACACAAAAGTTAAAGCTTGTTCAAGTATTTCAAGACATGAAACAATAAGGGTAAAAACATCAGTAGGAAGGCAGCATGGGTTGTCTTCACCAGAAAATCAGTGAAGCACTTTTGCATTCATCATAACAGTATCTAAAGCCAAAATCAAAATGCTTAATTAAAGATCTAAATCTAATTACCTTTATATCCATGACCCTTGGTCACACCAATACAATCAATCATCTCATCTTGGGCAAACACCTCAGCAACAGGGATGGGTTTCTCCAAACGTTCTCTGGCCCATGCTACCTTATCAGCAACAGTACCACCATTCAACTGAATCTCCATAATATGAGCCTTCTTCTGGCGTTGCTTCAGCAATTTCATCTAAAACAACACAACTTTATGAAAAAAATTTGCATAATAACTTTAGTGTCATTTATTTGTTAAAGAAAGGCTGTAGAGAGCATGGTTTGTCAAAGTGTCATCATCCAGGGACTACACACTGAATATGGAATATGCCCTCTGCACCTCCCGAAGGGCACATTATCTATGACACTGGGGCAAAGGCTCTACTGTTGAAAGAACCCCCATAACCCCCAGCAGGAGGGTAAGCTCCAAATCTGATTGTGTCAATAATAAATATCACTCAGATAAAACAAAATAAACAGCTAATAGACAACTCAACTCGGAAAATAATGCTATTGTTAACAATAAACGAGAATGCATTAGATGTAAAACAAATTTATTGATTTATAAATAAACTAGTGACACCAATGCAAAGGTAGCTACCAGGTCAATCATCCAGTGAATCAATTTTTACCAGAAATAAAATATCGGAGTCAAGAAAAATACATGACAAATATTTAAATATATTTTTATTGAATCATCCATTTTACACATTTTGCAAATTTGGCCAAACAGCAAAGTGATAAATGTATAGATTTGACAGCTTTGAGGTTGTTTTGTAAATGTTTTTTCATAAATATAGAATATAAAACTGGCAAAATGCATTTTTATTGTGTTATTGTTGAACACATTTTCCTGAAATTAGATTTACCTACAACTTGTCTAAAGCAAAATAAAAGCACTGAAAAGAAGTTTACCTGAGTATGAGCAATCACCCGAACAACCTTGCAGTACTTGATAATCTTCTTGAAGTCACGTTCAATTGACTTCTTGCCCAAATCATCAGACCATTTCTTAGATGCCTTGGTGAATGCCTTCTTCTTGCTCTTATACCTGCATGGACAACCTTTTAGCTACAATTCACATGTTCAAATCTCTTCTGGATTCTGCAAGAACTAGAGAGATGTCTCATAGCTTAGAGGAGACATCACCTCTCAGTCACACTTCACTAAAGCCTGAATTGTTCTACAGGTAAGCTCAGTGGACAGTTCTCAATAGCCCTCTTAAGGTCAGAGGAGAGCTTTGCAGATTCATTAGTAATGTTTGAAGGTGCAATAAAAATATGTTTAGTAATGTGACCAAAAAGTACATAGGTGATTGAATTATATAAGGTGTCCTTAAGTTTAGATTTACTTTCACTCTACATACAACATAAAACAAACTAAAAATTATCAACCATTGAAATTTGAAACAAGTGAAAAGATGACTGTACTCAATCCACCTCGTAGGTAAACAATGCTCAGATTTGAACATGTTCGCTGCGTATATCGAATATAGTACACTTCCCAGAACCTGAACTATTTTTTTCAAAGAATTATAATGAATCATCTATTCAAAGACCAAAAAACATCATTAGCTATATTTTTACGATTTACAATCTGTCAATAATGTGTCATACACAGGCAACATCAGCACTGCAGTGGGAAAACGAAATGTCTGCGATGGGCGACATATGCAGCAAACGTGTTAAAAACAAAAAATGTTAGTTTAGATGCTGCTGAGGCCTTGCAACCTATTACTGATGCAAAAGATTATCTGGAAATCTACTAAAACTGAATTAAATACTGATGGTACAGACCACAGTAAATATTGATCATAACATTTGCTGATGTGGATGAACCAATTTGTGAGTTGTGAAAGTATTGTTGCGTTAGCAGTTCAAGCTTAAGGAAGCTGAATTTGGTGTGAGTAAGCAACCCCCAAAGAAGCAAATGTGCCTGAATTGTGTATCATATGCAAGTATTTGATTTGTGCATCAACCCTGTGTTTCAGTGAAAATGAAAAGTTTAACCAATTTTTCTATATGATTTCAAATTAATATATTCATTTGCCATTCCGCAAAGTATGAAAATACACAATATTCCAGCACTCACAAGGAACACACTTTTGCACAAGTTTGATATTTACTACTTCAAGTAAAAGTTCTGGATTTGCTGCTATTTGCAGATTGCCTTCTTGTACAGGACCAACTTTCAAACCACCTTGTATAAAAGAAAATTACTTTTGGCGACACTTGAAACAATTTCGAGAATATACTTGTTGCCTTGCAAGGTACCCAAAAATGCTATTAGAAAAAGCCTTACTGGGGCATAAGAGCTGGAATCTTTCCTCTACGAGTTTCTTTAGCACTAACTTAAGTATTAACACTCAAATCAGCGACTCTAAGACTCGATTCATTTTTTGGACAGACAAGCAGTTATTGATTTACTTACCAATTCTTGTAGAACCTTCTACGACAATCTTCAGAAAGATGCTCAGCCCAGATGGTAGCTAAAGCTCGGAGACCATGTGGTGTTTCAATGTAGCCTACAACTCCAACAATAACCATCGGGGGCGTTTCCAAGATAGTTACAGCTTCCACGATCTCCTTTTTGTTGATCTTTGAGCCGGGTCGATCAGCCTCTCTCACCACGTGGGTCATACCAGCTTTGTAGCCGACGAATGCAGTCATATGGACCGGTTTGGAAGCGTCATCCTTAGGGAAAGCCTTTACCTTTCCACGATGTCTCTGCGACCTCTTTTTGGGGTAGAAGCCCATCGAGCCATGTCGAGGCGCACTGAACTTTCTGTGAGACTAAGACCACATTCAGTTAGTCTGGAGCTCAAATTTACACAATACATAATCGCAACCGAAAAATATCAGACCGCCCTAGAATACTATCCACACGTGGAATTCAGTTTATTAACCATAAACAATTATTATCTAAATCATCATGTAGGTTGAAAAATATTAGGCCTGTATTAAAGAATAGTAATGTTGCGATTAAAATCAAAATAACCCAGCATATTTATTAGATAGATGGTAGGGATTTTTGAAGGATAAAATTGAAGGAACAAAAACAGTAACTTACCATTTCGAACACAAATTGCAAATGGAAGAAGAAAGCTCATTGACGTCAAACGTAACCTCGGTTCACGATAGAGGGCGTAGTATTATGTGATTTTTGACAAAAGGTGACAGCTTAATTAGTTGTTTCATGAGCCACAGAAAAGATATTCTTAGAATGAAGGCATTATTGCACCTATTAGTGTCTGCCATTTTCTTCCCTACGAATAGTTCGATTAGACCATGAGCTCACGCACTCTCCGAGTAAGGGTTGTGCTTGCTTAAAAGCTAGAGACGATTCAGCTATCGACGCAAACTGAAGTACATTTAAGGTTCCATCAGATAGCTGTTGTTCATTCTCGCAGAGGTCGCTTCTGTCGCTATTTTGTGCGGTCGTATTATAAGTATAACAGCTATGGCAAATTCTCATAGATGAGATTTTATCCCGGATAATTTTTTGGACCCGGGAATATAGCATGCATTGCTTAGTAGCAGGCGTCAGAGACTTTCTTGCGGCCTGAGACAAAGGATATGATATTCGCTGTTCAAAGTACCTTTCAGCAAGAAAGTCAAGAGATCTGCAACACACAATATTATGTTTCCAAAACATGAGGCAAATATGCAAAGCTGGCTATTCAAAAATATTACTTACAATACAAGGTATAGAAAGTTAACAAAATGGCATTATATAGAGCCAGTCCACAACCCTGCCGAACTGAATGCGCTAATTGTTTTCAATCTTCTTTAGGGGGCATACATCATCGGTACAATAATATAATACAGGGTGGCGCATCGAAAACGAAACAGACGCATTTAGTGGCAGCTCAGTTTTTTTTTAAATGCTCAGACCCGTCGATTTTGTTTTCGAAGGGGACACAAGTTTGGAAGGAAATCACGTTAACATGTGCAGCCCCCTGGGCGGGGATGACACCAACCCTAAAATCTTAAATGGAAAGGGGGGTCGAGTGATACCTTATTTTAAAGGTCTTTCAATTCCCTTTATAATGATGTAAAATACATGAGCTCCAGTTCGATAGTTTTGAAGAATTATTGATTTAAATTTAAAGCTTAAAGTAGACTTTAATAGGTACATCAGATTAGTGTGTACTAATTTCAGAAGAAATTTGACTAAAAGAATTTACTTAATAAGTAAATGCATTTCTTCACTACGCCCATGGTTTGTTTATCATTTTGTTGTTGAAAATAGCTATTGGAGCCTTTTTTGTGGCAAAAAAGTTGTTTCTAGAAGAAAGATAAGGCAAATATCTCGTACTTATTTTAAATAGGAATTTAGTAGGTACATAGTTTGCGATTGATTTGACCAAACTGTGTTGCTAAAATAACTTGTAACGCTTTATTACATAAATTAACCATGGTATATTCCACAGCAGCAACAGTTGAAATTATTGAAATATTTTTCTGAAATAATCAGTGCGCTAATAGAACAGCAGAAATATTTAATGAGCGACATGAGAACAGTAACATGCATCGAAAATATGTTCTAGAACTTGTAGTTAAATTTCGGGAAACTGGGTCAGTCGCCAATAAAAAACGCAACATTGAAAATCCCATAAGGAACGAAGAAATAGACGTGGGGGTTTTAGGGCAAGTTTGTGTAGATCCTATGTTAAGTACCCGCAAATTGGAGACTGTGTGTGGTGTTAGTCGAGGTACTGTCCAACGGATTCTAAAGGCCACAAAAATTAAATGTTTGGACTGGTGTTTCTGGCGATCATTTAGTTGGTCCTTTTTTCTTACCTGGAAATTTGACCGGTGAAATGTATTTGGAATTACTGGAAGACGCCATAGATCCTGCATTAACAGCCATAATTGAAAATCAGAATGATCGGCGGTACATTGCGAATAGGTTGATGTTCCAACAGGATGGTACCCCACTACATTACACATTACGTGTTCGACAATATTTAGATCAGACGTTTCCAGATCGATGGATTTCTAGAAGAGGTGCCATTGAATCACCTTTGGATTTCTTTATGGGGGGTCATTTAAAAAGAAAAATCTATGCTATTCAGCCAACATCATTAGAAAACCTGCGACAAAGAATTGTGAATAAGTGCCTTCAAATTACACCTCAAATATTGCAAAATGTGCAGCAACGTTTTGAGCAAAATCTTTATTATTGCATGGAGAGTCATGGTGGCCATTTTCAACATTTACTTGCTTAACGGGTCAGTTCATTCTTCATTTTTAAATTACTTTGCTGCCAAATGTATTGATCTCCACTAATGATGATGTACGAGTATTAGTTTTATTTAAGCTTTAAATCGATAAATCTTCAAAACTACTCAACTGAAGTACGTTAATTTTATATCATTATAAAGGGAATTGAAAGACCATTAAAATAAGGTATCACTTCACCCCCTTTCCATTTAAGATTTTGGGGTTGGTGTCACCCCCGCTTAGGGGGCTGCACATGCTAACGTGATTTTTTGCCAAACTTGTGTCCCACTCGAAAACAAAATCGACGGGTCTGAGCGTTTTTCAAAAAAAAAACTGAGCTGCCAGTAAATGGGTGTTTCGTTTTCGATGCGCCACCCTGTATATAGAGCGATAATCAAACGATAAATGTTTGGATAGATCCTATACAGGTGCTCAGCAGCGTCGCAATCGCCTTGCGATTATATTTTTCCACACTAATATTGAAAATTCGACGTTTAAGCTACAAGTTGTATTTTTCAATTTATTTTTGTAATTTCCAAAATATAAAGAACCGCAACGGTTGCGATTGGCCTGGTTGCCGTTAGCGTATTTAACATGCAGTTAGTCACAACTGTGAATGATATCAAAATAATCTCTAGATCTTTTAAACACAACCCTTACATGGAGGGTGCGTGAGCTCACGGTCTATAGGTGTTCCATTATTAGGAAAAAATTAAACAATAAAGCCGGTTCAACATAAAGGATTTTGATGAATGTTGTTCAATAACTTAGAAACGAATATTCGGGAATGTTGTATAATGTAAATAACAAAGGCTTACAATACCTCCCTTTTCTTGTAGTTGCTCTATGCATTCTTCGTTCTGTGGCTTGTAGTACGCAACTTTTACTATTTTCTAATTTTCGTGTTCTGTGGGTTGCCCTTTGCTGGCGTCTGCCATTTCTTGTGCGCAGTGCCGGATTATTGAAGTAGATATTACCAATTTTCGACCGGATTAAACAATATTTAATTCGAATGTGGCAAAATTGCGGTAAAATATATCCCGAAAAACCATCTGCAAGTATAACTTGGTGTTTAACTACTTGAGCTCTCAATTATTGAGGTAAGAAACATTTATCGGCAAAAATATCTCTACAATAATGTTATATAAAACACGTGGACTACTTTATTTCAATATAAAAATCGAGGACTTTACAATCTCCTGTATTTATATGGCAGTATTAATACGTTTATATGGTAATTTAGTTTCAAAATGTAGAAGATTTTTGAAGTTTGTATTGCATGGAATATATACCTAACACATTGGTCATTTTTACAGTTATAAACGAGTCATATCTTCTAGTTTGCAAGATTTAACTTGTCGAAGGACGGTGAATAAAAGGTATTTGAGGAATATGCTGTAAGCCATCAGAAATTCTAAGAGCAGGTTGAGTGGTTGCATTCAGAAAATTTTTGACTATAGCCTACAGGGGTTTAAGGAGTTTAATTGAAACAGGTAAGTACTTTATATAAATAGGTTTGCCTCCTTATTTCTATATATATATATATATATATGTGTTTCTATATAGTTCCATAGAAATACTTGAACTTAGGAATATTACTCCATTTTTATTCTGATGTCTAATTTGTGAATCACATGTGGATACATTTTTACAAGAAAAGGTCACATTTGAGTTTTATTTTGCAATTATTAGAAATATTTTCCTTATTGATAGATGAAAACAGTTATGCACCTTGAATTGATAAAGAATGCTTGTCATGTTTGACATTTCTTCTATAATTTTACCTTTCATATTCCGAATACTGTAGAGTTTTTGTCTCTGAAATAGTGTATTGTTTCAGATAAACACAAATGATGAGTTCCGGCAGCATTTGCTACAAGTGTAACCAACCTGGCCACTTTGCCAGAGAATGCTCACAGCCAGGAGGTAGAGATGGTGGTAGCAGGAGCTTTGGCAGAGGCCGTGAGAAGTGCCATAAATGCAACAAGGTATAGAGTTACAAAAAAATTTGCTGGGTAACTCTTTTATTCAGCCATGAAATTGGAAGAATTACTTTGTATATATTGAAAGAATATGAGTTACTGGAGAAAGTGGTCAATAGGTAGATTGTAGCCTGCAAAATGAAGCATCATTACTTCAATTTCCTGTAGCAATCAATGCAATTTGGAACCCTTATTTGATATAGATTATATTACATTATGATGTCTTTGGCTTATATATATATATAGTGACATATAAATCTGAACATCCAGTTTAAATGGTTTTATTTTAATAAAATTTTGTATAAGTACTTAATGAAGCATAATAAGTAAATGATAAAAATTTCAAAATGATTGCACTACTTTAAAGCCCTTTGACCTTTAATAATTTGTGGATGCACCCTGATGTGCTACGTATTCTCCAACACGCCTAGGCATGCTTCTGATCAGGTGGTCAATGTCCTCCTGTGGTATCTCATTCCAGGCAACCACCAACTCCTCTCGAAGTGCTTCTAGAGTCTGAGGAGGATGTTGCAAATTGAGCAATCTCCTACCCATCATATCCCACATGTGCTCAATTGGGGATAAGTCCGGAGATCTTGGTGGCCATGGTCATTATGTTGAAGGAAGTCTATTGTGACTCTTGCAACATGTAGTCGGGCATTATCTTGTTGGAAAGTTGGATCTGCCAGGGTGTCAAGATGGGGTTCTAGAACTTCGTGGATATAACGCTGCGCGTTCATGTTACCTTTGATGAAGATTAAAGGTGACCTGGAACCATAAGCTATAGCACCCCAAACCATAACTCCAACAGTGTGATGAACATGTCTTTCAACAAAAAACTGTGGATTCCTCCTTTCACCACGTCGCCTTCTAACTCATCGTGCATGCCTAAACAAAATCGAGACTCGTCACTAAAGACAATACTGTTCCATTCCTGATCTCAGAGTGACCGTTGTCTGCACCACTCAAGGCGATTACATTGGTGTAAGGGTTAGAAGGCGACGTGGTGAAAGGAGGAATCCACAGTTTTTTGTTGAAAGACATGTTTATCACACTGTTGGAGTTATGGTTTGGGGTGCTATAGCTTATGGTTCCAGGTCACCTTCTTTCAACATAATGATGTCACATTGTTACCATGGCCACCAGGATCTCCCAACTTATCCCCAATTGAGCGCGTGTGGGATATGATGGGTAGGAGATTGCTCAATTTGCAACGTCCTCCTCAGACTCTAGAAGCACTTCGCGAGGAGTTGGTGGTTGTCTGGAATGAGATACCACAGGAGGACATTGACCACCTGATCAGAAGCATGCCTAGGCGCGTTGGAGAATGCGTAGCACATCAGGGTGCATCCACACATTATTAAAGGTCAAAGGGCTTTAAAGCAGAGCAATCATTTTGAAATTTTTATCATTTACTTATTATGCTTCATTAAGTACTTATACAAAATTTTATTAAAATAAAACCATTTAAACTGGGTGTTCGGATTTATATGTCACTTAGTATACATATATACATTCATAATATGCACTTCTTAGTAGCAGTTCTAAAAGAGAACAAATGTCAATTTATGCATTTATTTTTTAGCAAAAAGTGCATATCAAATTTGAGATAATATGAGTCTGTTGTCTTTTTTTTTCACACACTACTGAAAAGCTAATAAAAGACACATCTTGGAGGCTGAAATAACGTCATTTCCAAAAAGAATCACTGTATTGTTAATCATCTACAGTAAGACTCGAAATTAAGTATACATATAAAAGATATAAAAGATTTTGAATTTGAATATGTTTGTTCTACAGTATATTATTCCATATTGTAAATGCAAAAGTCTTACACAGGTGTGGTAATTTTGCATGGAATACCATAGCAAGTTGAAGTGACATTTGTCATATCAACAGGTAGTAATTTTTTTGTTTGTTTTTGAAATTTGAAACAATGTTTATGATGTAACACAAAGTGTAAAGTTTAGTAGTGGATCAATGGAAGTCAGGTGATAGAGGGCCTCAAAACCTATCTAATGACCCCTCATATATATGTGGTCTGAAATTTCATAGTTCAGGAGATATTTGCAATTTTGTGAAATTTCCAAAACAAAGGGGATAATGAACTTTCAATCGCAATTACAACTAAACCATTAGGTTTAGGGCTGTGATTTTTTTTCTGAGGTGAGCTAAATGGTTAGTTTTAGCAATGATTATGTCACTTTCTAACAGAGCTTATTAGAAATCAACACAAAAAATCTTAAATTCATTTTTTGTGAAAAATCTCTTCCTTCCCTCGACTTTGGAGGGCAGAAATAAAAAATGAGGTTGTATTTCATTATTCATTTTATTATAAAAACTATTTCATTCCATGTAGAATATACCCTGAAAATTTCACATGTTCGAAATGGCCTCCATTATTTTCTATACACAAGCAACACCTTCTAATAAAATTGTCCTTTAGTCTTTGAAATGAATTTCCATAATTTTTATTTTTGCTTCTTCAATTTTCTGGCGCAGTTGGTTGACATTTATATATTCAGATGTATAGATTATCCCCTTATAAAACCCCCATACAAAAAAATCTAAAGGATTTAAATCAGGTGACCTTGGAGGCCATCATATGTGTCCACCTCTACTTATCCAATGTCCAGGAAAGGCACTGTCTAAGTAATGCTGCACGTCCCATGCAAAGTGGCATGGGGCACTATCGCATTGAAAATATATGCGGCTTCGAACGTCCAAAGGTACATCCCCTAGCAGCTCATGCAAACTGCTTTGTAGAAAAGCAAGGTATGACTGACCATTCAACCTGGCGGGCAATTCGTATGGTCAAATTAATTTTTTGTTGAGTACTCAGCCCATAAATAAACGCCAAACTGACGTTGAAAGCTGTGTCGGCGAATAGCGTGTGAATTTTCCACGCTCCAGGAATGGAAATTGTGCATGTTGAATATTCCATTTCAGTTAAAGTTGCGATAAGATGCTGTCGGAAAAAGTTTCATCCTCTTTGCACCTTCTCAACTTACTCTTACAAAATTCAACCCATTGTGCATAGTCACTTGGAAGCAGTTCTTCTACTTTTTGTACATAGTGAGGATGCATGTTCTCCGAGTGTAGTATTGGGTGCACTGAAGTATGGGATATGTTTCTGCTTCAGGCAGTGGCTCTGGTGCTTATAGAAGGATCTCTCTCAGCTGCTTCTAATATATCTTTTATTCGTTCTGGGCGTATCCTCGGCGCTCCTAGCTGACAATGAGTGCCTAGTATGCGGCATGATTCTACTCAGATGCCAAACGTTAGATACAAATTCCGCGCTGGACCATTGCCTAATTTCGGTCGGACCGAAGATTGAACGCTCCCGCACCTGGAATGCCGAGGTCAATGCCCAAGCTGATTTGGCTATTTGCGTAAAAAATCCGCCATTTTGATTTTACAAAATGTCAATTCATACATTACTCGCATTGCTAGGACGAATCTAACAGTACCTCATCTGTCAAAATCCATCAAGTTGTTTGAACTGTAGCTCGTAAAATAGAATTTCGTATTTACATGTATAGGTACCCACCTGCATCAAACATACAGATTTTTGAAGGTGAGGCACTTATCTTAGCAAGCTGAAATTTTCAGGGATTATTCTACATGGATTGAAATAGTTTTTACAACAAAATGAGTAATGAAATACAACCTCAATTTGTTTTACCGCCCTCCAAAGTCGAGGGAAGGAAGAGATTTTTCACAAAAAATGAATTTAAGATTTTTTGCGTTGATTTCTAATTAGCTCTGTTAAAAAGTGACATAACCATTCCTAAAACTAAACATTTAGCTTAACTCAAAAAAAATCACAGCCCTAAACCTAATGGTTCAGTTTTAATTGCGATTGAAAGTTCATTATCCCGTTTTTTTTTTGAAATTTCACAAAAATTCGCATCACGCATATAGGGATTCATTCAATATGTTTTGAGGCCCTCTATCACGTGACTTCTGTTGATCCACTAGTTACCCCTCCCCACCCCCTGAAACGACAAAAGTATGAGCGACTTTTATTCTTTTTCGTTTTTGACCCTTTTCTCTGCAACTTGCTGTTGCATCCTTGGGATAGTAGTAACATTGTGTAAAAATTTGCATTCAATTATTCTGGCTCCCAATATGAGAAGGCGCATTGATATACAGGGTGTAAACGTTATGATTATTTAAATTGGTGATGGAGGGGGTTAAAAGAAGCAAAAAGTTTCATATAACATGAGGGTCAAAACAACATTTTTTTAGAGAAAAGCGACTTAAAGTAAAATAAAATCTGACAACGCCGCAATGCCAGTCGCAAATTACAACGGAACGCAGTGTAAATAAAGATGAAGTTTATTATTTTTGGCTCTTAGGTATTATTTCATTATTTGATAATGTACTCGTAAAATGCAAACAATTAAAAAAAACGGACTTACCACTAACTGTCTCAGCGCTTCACCTGGTGTGTGAAAGTTTATTGAACATATTAAAAAATTCCACTCATAAATAGGGAACACAATTTTGATACATACATTGTTTTTCTTTTTAAAACCCACACTGCACTTTTTGTATTTAAAGGTGTTCAAAATATCGTCCTCCACTTTCCACACAAGCTTCATTACGACGAACCCAGTTTCTTCTTACTCTAGGTCCTCGAAGTTGTCCATTTATTATTTCAGCCGCAGTAAAATTTTTTTCGCGAAGTTGTGCTTCAGTTGTTATTGGACCAGCCCCATAAACCATCCCTTTAAGTTCTCCCCAATACCAGAAATCCATCGGATTGAAGTTAGGAGATCTTGCTGGCCATTTTCGAGGATCAGGAGCATTTCGACCGATCTAGCGATTTGGATAATGTTCATTCAAATACTGAATGACGCCTCTAAAAATGTGTGGTGGTGCCCTGTCATGAAGAAACCACAAATTCTGTCTTCGTTGTAATGGCATGTTGTCCAAGGTCTGTTCCAAAAGTTCTGGTAGGTTATTGGCTAGAAAGCTAAGGTATACTTCTCCCGACAACTTTGGGGGTAACTCGAAAGGGCCACTTACCTGATCGTCAAGAATACCCGCTCAAATATTTATTTTAAAACGTTGTTGGGAATCACCTTCACGATTGGTATGAGCCCACGTGTGAGTATTATGGAAATTTAATATCCCGTCTCGCGTAAAAGTACATTCGTCCGTCGCTGGAATGTTTTTAAAAAAATCCGGATTTTCCGTAGGATTCTATGGACTATGGTATGCGATAGTCTTACGCTGCGGCCTAATTCCCGAGTGCTGATATCTGCATTGATTTCCACGATATTTAAAATTTGTTCCTCCTGCTCTACAGTAACCTGTCTTTCACAAGTGCGAATATTAGTGGGCTGAACACTTCCTGTATATCGAAGTCTTTGGTACACTTGCACAAATGTCCTTCTGTCTGGGTGTACCCGTTTGCGAAATCTGTCACGATAAATTTGAGCTGCAAGATTTGAATTCTGACGAGCTTCACCGTAACCTAACAACATGTCGGCGAACTCTTGATTCGAGAACATTGTAAACAACACGCCCGATGCCCGATAACTAACCACTGTCACCGTTTGCGATCGATTGCCGGTTCGATAAGAGTGATGATGACCGACGCGCTGTTGTCATGTGTGTTTTAAATATTTAGTTTAATGAAACTTACTTACTGACTACAAATTTTGGCTTAACTTAGAAAAACTTAATGCCATTTATTTGTTAATTACCCAATTTAAAAACGTTTTAGATTAGATTATAAAAATTAGTAAGATTGTGGTGATTGTCGTCGATATAAAGCATTTAGAGTTGTAAACTATAAAGCCATTCAGACAAAAATCTATTGACTTTTGGACCATGAGTCATATGAACTTTTTGACGTGTTTTGACCCCCCTATTACCCATTTCAATAATGACTACCATAACGTTTACACCCTGTGATCTTTTGAAATGGTTGAAGCAATCAAATCCTTTGTAGGTCTGTTATGGACATTTGTTCTAAATAACTTCTTTCTTAAGCTAGTGGAAGGGCTTTTAACATCAGAATGTCAAACTGCTAAAGTAATAAAATTTGGTGACCTAATGAATGAATGAATGAATCTTGAAATTAGAGGCATTCCGGCCACCATAAGGAGCCAGTGCATAGGCCGCTTAAGCGGGCCCTTATGCACCTCTACAATCCTTAGATCACAAGCCTCGCCCTTTTAGCGAAGTTGAGAATCGCCTTGAGTCCAAGCTCCTTGAGGTCCTGAGGGTCCAAAGTAATGGACCCCAGTATAGTCTGCCTATAGTGGCTCAGAGCTTCACAGCGACACAAAACGTGCGCCGAGGTCTCTTCCTCTACCCCGCAGCGTTCACACAAGCGATCCTCAGCCACCCCCATCACGTGCAGGTGACGCCTTAACGTGTTATGCAGACAACAGACAACAGTCCCACCAGCAACCTTAGGTTAACTCTATCCAGAGATAGGCAGAAACGTCCATCCTTAGCACTGGGCCCTTCAATGAGTTCCCGTGCCTGGCGGAGATGTCTGGAGATACTTCTCCATTTCTGACAGTGTTGTCTTGCAACCCACGTCTCCATTTTCCTCCTAGCTTTATACGCGGACACTCCTAGAGCTGGCTCAGGACCAACTAGCTTGCTGGCTGATCCTGTCTTGGCCAGAGTGACCGCCGTCTCATTACCCCTTATCCCAGCGTGCCCAGGTACCCATATTAATGATACCGGATGCCTCCCTGCATTGCAATACAAGACTCGAAGTAATCTTACAGGCACTTAGTGCTTTCATTGCAGCCTGGCTGTCGGATAAGATTGTTATTCTTCTCCTAGGCTCACCCTCCTCCAGAATGTGAGATACACAAGCCAGAATCGCAAAGATTTCCGCCTGGAAAATAGTGGTGTATCCACCGAGAGGCAGAGATACCCTAGTTCTAGGCCCAGAGACCCCAGCACCTGAGCATTCTTCGGTGACCGAGCCGTCCGTGTACCAGACCTGCCCGCTCACTCCGGAGAGTCCCCGGCTACTGGCGCCCCACTCCTCCCTCGTTGGATACTCCACAATAAACTTGCGGTTGAAGCGATATTTAGGGGGCTTAGAAGGACAGGGTCCTCCCTTTGCAATTCGACTAAGATGGCAGTATGCCCCTTGACAGGATTCAAGAAAGCCCAGCTGCCCTGACTCCACAGTCGATGACCGACTACTCTCGCTTCACCGCGGATCACCAGATCCAACAGAGCTTCCATTGCGCTCAATGGCGTTGTTCGCACTGCACTTGTGATACTAATACAGGCCAAATGCTGAATTTTATTGAGTTTGGCCTTAGTTGTCTCAGTTCAAATGCAAGGCCACCAGACCAGGGAGCCGTACAAGAGAGATGGACGTACTATCGTCGTGTAGAGCCAGTATACCACTTTGGGTTTAAGCCCCCACCTTACTCCGACAACTCGTCTACAGGCCCACAACGAATTGCGAGCCTTGCTAACCTTGTATTCAACATGCTCTCTCCAGTTCAGTTTGCAATCCAGGATAATTCCCAGATATTTCACTGATGACCTCATCTATGGCTGTGTTCTGCTTTAGCAAAATTGTACATATGTTGATAACAAGATAGGCTGCCAGTTCATAGGGATTAACAATCCGACAACTACCATTTTTTTTATTGGACCTTGAAACCATTGCCCATCCAATTTTTAATAATAAAGAGGAATCAAATACTAAATTAGAAACTTTATTTATGTATCAGTCGACTTACATTAATTTTGTTTCGAGATTAAAATCATGTGAATAGGCCATTTAAGGGGATATACTATCATAACTGTTGCCACTTTAGTGACTATGAGACCAAGTTTTACCCAACTCTATCAAGATGGATCCAAGACCAAAATGCTAAACAATAGAATGAAATGATTATGTCATCTGGCCCAAAAAGCAACCTCAAAATCTCTGGGGATACTTTCTGCTTCTGTTCCTCCTTTTAAAAATGTACTGTGGTTGTCTCTATTAGTCTTCTCACGTGTTTGAAATGACTGTAAAGCACAGTACATGCTATACAAGTGAATTAGAATTAGTTCAAGAATTCTAAGCACTATTACTCATATTTGCAACTTGGAAAAGTGAGCCGGAATTTGAATGCGAAAAATGTTTATAATTGCTGGGCATACCATATTTTTTCTTTACTAAAGACTATCATCAGAAACTCTAAAACAAAAAAAAAGAAGGTTTGAGGTTTGAGATGTTTCTATTTTCCCTTGGCATGGTATTTACCGTCAAACCTTCGTCAAAAACCTATCAGCTGTACTTTCCAAGTTATAGAGAAGCCAAGAATTAATGGACAACAACAGAGAAAAATTTTGTATGTGTACTGTCATATAAATTACACATATCTGTTATACTACCCACAAAAATCATCAAAATTTTTCCCAATTAAAATATTTTCCTCACCTTTTAGTAAGGGAAGTGTTTAACTGAAATGCATAATATTACAGTTTTATGTGTTACAGTAGAAACAGAGAAGGAAACACACTGTAAATCATAGCAATTATGAGTGTGTTGCTGGAATCAGAGTTGAAAAATGTTTTGAGTGTAAAACATAAACATCTACCCCACTTACCATTATAATTTGGGGGAAACAACAAATAACAACAAACTGTTCACCAGTTGGTTAGTTAAAGTAGATACAATGGGTTATTTAGTGTTTTACGTATATTTGTTTTTGCTATATCTATCCTTTTAATTATGTATCATATTCAATCTGAATGCCTCAAACAGGTGGGTCATTTCGCACGCGAATGCAAGGAGGAGCAAGCGCGCTGCTACCGTTGTTACGGTGAGGGTCACTTTGCAAAGGACTGCCTTCAGAGTCCCGACATGCCGTCTTGCTACAACTGCCGCAAGGTCGGCCATCTTGCCCGTTTCTGTCCGGAGGGGAACGACCGTATGGCCAACGAGACCTGCCACAATTGTCAGCGGATTGGTCACATCTCCAGGTAATATATAATATACGAAGGGAGTGGGACATACTAATTTTCAGTTTTGTTTCTCAAAGCTTTGTTACAAGATGGATGTCACAGATTTGTACCTATTATTTAATTTTTCTATAATTTAGTCATAGCCGCTTTTTTTTCTGTATCTTTAAATCAAACGACAGAGTCCAAATCACGCCGATTTATTGAATAGACTACTTCACCACCTCATTGTACAAAACCTCCGCCAGTACCAGAATGCCACGTCACCATACAGTAACACTATATTTACTTGAGAAATAACTTGCTTTAAGTCACAATTTATAGAAATATCTGACATTTCTTATATCTTTAAGACACTGTATAAATACATATTATGTTTGTGAGCTTTAAATGAAATCGACTGATTTGTTCCCGAGATAATCCATATAATATTTACTTGGTTCTTATGAGAAACTCAAAATTTCCCCTTATTATAGGAGCTTCTGAGTTGAGTGAGTTTTACTGAAAGCATGCAAGATTTTTACATTGTATTTGAAGAAAGAAACTGATGAGCTGTCGCATATTCACCATGATAGAACTTCGATTGGAACACAACCACAGTTTTATGTCTACCGAAATCTATGGAAAACTTTCGCACAAATCTACCGAAAACAAATCGACTATATAGCAACACTGAGTGTCCAATTTTGTTGCGCCTTGGTGTTTTGCGTAGTTGTGCGGCCGACTGTTGCGCTGGCCCTTCGTTATATATTTGCGTGATTATCATGTGTATATATTTTATGGATTTCTAGGTTTTAACGTTTTCTATAATACGTACAGGGTGTTCTTCTGAAAACGTCCCACCTCGGGTTTATCTAAAACCACGGATTAAAAGAAAAACGCCGAGACACATCAATAGATTTGTCAAGGGCGACAACTTTTTAATCAAAAACTACTTCACCCTCGGCCCTCAGGGTCATTCCCTTAAAAAATTTAAATGACAAGGGGTATCGAGTAAGAGCTTGTTTGAAAGGTTATTTTCGTTTGATTTTTTTAAATCAGTCTATTCGTTTCCGGAAAAATTATAAAAATCTTTATCTTAATTTGTTCAGATAGAAAACAAAAACACGAAAATATCACTGTTTGTTTCAAGTGTTCAAAATGTTGCCCGTTAGGGTTTTCCATATCTACAACTCGTTTATAATTTAAAACGGAAAGTACCAACATAAACAGCAATTCGGAAGAATAGACGTGTTAATAACCAAATAGTAACCCGAATTTTGTTCCCCATTCTTTTCATAAACACAGATATCCTGGGCAAACTGTATTTATTGTTATACCTGTTTAGTTATTTGTTGTTAAGAGAAAGTTACCTTTGTGACAATCTTTGGATAGTGAAAATTAATTTATTGATTCAGATTTTACTTCCAAAATGGTGAACACACTAGCTAAAAGAGTGGAAATGATTCTAATTCATGGTCCCCAAAATCAATATGGTCGGCAAACTCCCGTCACGTTTACCGCCAGACATCCGTGGAAGATAACTTCGCATAGGTATGTTTTGGACTTTGTTACTAGATGTTGCAAATAAAAAAACGTAATCATCGGAGAGTTTTGGATGAAGCCACTCGAGCTGAAGTTTTAGGTAATTTTGAAATAAATTATAATACGTCATTACGCAAAATTGTTGCTGCGACTGGTATTTCATTAGGATCTGTATACACAGTTACTAAACTCCATACATTTCATCCGTTCAAAATGAAAATATTGCAAGAGTTAACCGAAGATGATTTCAATAGGCGAGTAAAGAACAAATGACTGCAGCGATCAATGATGATACCATTCATGTAATGAATATCTGCTTCAGTGATGAATGCATATTTTATCTGATGATATATTAGTTAATAAGCTTAGAGCAATGAAAATACTCATGTTTTTGTAGAAGGGCATACCCCTAAAAAATTAATGTATGGGCAGGCATTTCAGGAAAAAAAGTGATTGGGCCATTGTTTATTAATGGAAATTTGAATGGAGACACTTATTTGGATATGTTGGAAAATATCATCAATCCGCTTATCACTGAACCATTGAAAACAGAATCGAATAGGATGGAAACCCTATACTTCATGAGGCTGAAACATATGTATTTCCAGTAAGACGGCGCTCCTCCTCACTATGTTCTTCCGGTTCGGCAATGGCTAGACGACGAGTTTCCAGATAAATGGATAGGGTGAAGAGGGCTATAGAATGGCATGCTAGATCTCTTGATTTGACGCCATTAGAATTTTTTCTATGGGGCGATTTGAAATCTATTGTTTACTGTTTACCTGAAAGTTTGGATGAACTTATTCAACACATCATTGAAAGCTGCCATGATATCCCACATGTTGAAAATGAAAATGTCCACCAGGAATTTGAAAATCACCTATATCATTGTTTGGCCAAGAATATTCAACATTTTGAACACTTATTGAAATAAAAAGTGATATTTTCGTGTGTTTTTGTTTTCTATCTGAACAAATTAAGGTGAATAAAGATTTTTCTAAATGTCTTGAAAACGAATCGACCGATTTTAAAAAATCAAACATCAGAATAAAGGACTTCTAAAGACCTTTCAAACAAGCTATTACTCGATACCCCTTGTCATTTGAAAATTTTAAGGGGGTGACGCTGGGGACTGGGTGGAGTAGTTTTTGGTTAAAAAGTTGTCCGCCTTGACAAATCTTTTGACGTGTCTCCGCGTTTTTTTTTAATCAGTGGTTTTCGATGAATCCGTGGTTGGAAGTTTTCAAATGAACACCCTGAATGTATGTTTCCTTTTTAAATGCCCATGCGTGCAGAAAATTTGCACTACCTGCATAGTTATTTATCGTATAGTTTCCCATTTTGACTTGCAAAAACATGATCTGTCAACAGAAAGGTCTATCTATCTCATGTGCCCACTTCAACGGCGTTTGAACGATATAAACAAACCTCGTTGGTTCATGATGGAAGCATCCAGGAGTATGATCTGACATCTGCATACACTCGCGAAGTATCAGTAGACCTTGAATAAATAAACTTACCTCATAATCAAACCAATGACGTTGTTTTATTGCTAAAGGAATGTTCTAATTTGGGCTTTTTCAAATATCACCTTAGACTTTATACACCCCTTCATCACATTCTTCAATTTCTATAATTTTGTTGTGAAAATTTCAATTATATGGGAAAATAGGTTTCAAATTAAAGTATGGAGTGCTATGTAAATGTTATAGGAAACCCACCTGACCTTGTACGATTGTAATACTCATGTAAATTGAGACACTTGATTTAAAAACATATTTTTTCATACAGGAACTGCCCGGAGAATACAAAGACATGCTACTTATGCCACAAACCGGGCCACTTGAAGAGAGAGTGCCAGGAGAATGACTATCGAAAGTAGTATGGGTTCTTACAGGTTATGGATTTGTTATGTATGCAGAGAAACATATTCCTCTGTATATTTCCATCTTGCATTGTAGGTTGTTTCATATTATTTAGCATAAGTCTGAAAACTTAAATGACTGTATGATTTTTTTTTTACTATTGAGGCAGTTTTGAATTTCAAAATGAATTTCTTATTTTTTTCATTTTCTATATAAATGTAACGGTACATTCATCTTCTCTTATCTGAAAATATTTTACATGGAGATTGTGGTTGAAAAATATAGGATTATTATTGTAACCTTTTTTATTGAACTGCTGGATATAATGAAATATTAATAACAGATGGTGCAAGAAATTAAGAATGATTTCGACATAAAAAAATCCATTTTGATTGAACATTAATTTTTGTTTTGATTTAGTTTAGATGTCCTTGAATATTGTTTATAAGCTCATATTACACTTTCTCTTTCCATCCAAGTACTTAATTTTTTAATGTAGCTTATAGATTATTCTTCTCAATTTGTTATATCCAGTGGTTCCTTTACAGGCATAAGGCGAGTATCGTGTGTAGCTAATATTTTCAAATTGTGAATGGTTCCAGATAAATATTTAAATTCTTTATAGATTTAAATATTATGTAGATCCTAAACTGAATTGGAGCCACCTTTATACAATGCACAATTTGTCATTGACAAGGTGGAAAGATGCTGTTTCATAACTTCAATTTATTATGGGGGTAGGAATAATTTGACATTTCAAATACATATAAACATGCAGGACACATGTTTAAATAAAATCTAATTACATATATACTTTTTTGATATTTCCAAAAGGTCAGTGAGATTTAAAGTGGAATTCCCCATATTCAGGCTCATCACTTTCTCAAGTTGATGGGTACCTATTATCTTTGCTCTCTTTCCTGCTCCCACTGAATAATCAAAAATTTACAATAATTCTGTAATTCTTCTGGAAAGGATCTACTATTTTGTCCAACGATTCTTTTGGAATTAAAAAAAAAATATGTTGAAACGTCCAAATATATTTTTTCGAAAACTCCATTTATATGATTTGGTTATGAAGTAAACCTTTTTACATGTAAACATATTTTTATAGTTATGAATAAACATAAACATCTAAACATAAATATTGATCTTTTATTTTAGCTGACGAGCACTTCATAGTTCTATGGAGTGAAATGTATAAAATGTGTTTGCTCAGCTGTCTCGCGAATATCTGTGTATGTGGACAAACAATTCTATTTTACGTGCTACAACCCAAATGACTTGATGTATTTAGACTTACGAGGCGCCTCTTGATTTGACTCGATAGTGCGAGTGACACTGACTATATTAAAGAAAATTATAAAAACGGCGGATTTTAATGAAAAAATGCTTGAAATTCTCATGGGGTAGAGTCCAAGCGGATTTATGGCTTTTGACATTTGAGCTGTTGTTGATCTTTGCAGTACATAGGTGACACTGTATATTAAAATTTTATATAAACAGTGGTGGATTTTAATTAAAAAAAGTAACCCTGCAATTGCTATTTTTTAGCTCCAATGGCTTGGTGAATGCTCAAGATTTGTATTGATAGTGCGAGTAACACTAAGTATACTTAGATTGCCCTGTAAGAAGGGTTTTGACAACATTGTCACATTTGCGAGCTATAAGTTTTCAGAGTTTTGTTGGCGAGAAAAAATTTTTAAAAGATGGAAGTTGACCCAGGAGGATCAACAGACGACGCAGTTCCACATACTATGAGGAAAGAGCTGAGCGGTGGCGGAAACCAAGCAAAATCAGAAAGCATGAGCTCACTGACGCAGATGTCATCGGAGCAGAAAACGAACGAAAAACTGATGCTGATTATAGACGACAAGGCGAGGCAGATTCGAGACCTAATGGAGACCATCAAGGACCAGACAGCCAAAATTGACAGCCTGACCGCCCAGGTAACCATATTACTAAATTCAAAAGAATCCCCTAAAGAACAGACAAAGACCCTAAAAAGACCACTGAGAAACGTTACTGATGATCATCTCACATCCACAGACGAAGACGTACAGACCGAAGGATTTGTAAAAGCAAAATCAAGAAGGAGGAAAGGCTGAACGATCAACCCAAGACTTTCCTCCTCTTACGAATACAGGATCAATTCCATTTCACACCTCCCCCAATTCATCAAATCGAACCACTATTAATGCTTCTACTACCAAGCCAGGGACCACGTTTTCTACCTGTCAGGTGACTCCGTCAGCCGATGTTACTTCTCCTCCGTCATCTCGTCCAACCGTCGTGGCATCAACACAACCCTTACGACAAGGGACCATAACCCCGATCGTCTTACTCGACGGGACGAGATGGCGTACTTTAAATTTCAAGTTTATTTCCCTAGGTATTAAAATAGATCGCGCGGTTGCCGTTGATGCGGGAATAAGGATTATTCCTAAATCCGAGGACGACTACCGTAAGATCGTTCGCCTATTCCGAGAGGAAGAAGTGCCCCATCACACTTTTCCTCTCCCTTCGGAACGGAACATCCATGCGGTGGTTCGAGGAGTTCCCGTCAACTTTTCGGATACCGAGATTAAGGGAGAACTGGAGCAGAGGGGATATAGCTCTCTTCACATCATTCGATTGAAGCGCAGCGGCGGCGCGCCCATGCCTTTGGTGGTCGTGATACTGCCCAAGACTGAAAAGTCTCAGCAAGTGTTCAACGAACACGAACTGCTGGGACTGGCCATTCGAGTTGAGGTTCAGAAAAACTCCAGACTCATTGGGCAGTGTCACCGCTGCCAAAAGTATGGGCATGCGCAGTCATATTGCACTGCACCGCCCAAATGCTTAAAATGTGCAAAGGACTACATGACGCATTTGTGCCCCCTCACAGAAGAGGAAGAACACAAGTGCGCGAACTGTGGAGAGGGACATCCCGCAAATAGCCGGACTTGCAAATTCACTCCAAGGAGGAACTTGCAAGTTATAGCGCAAAGGCGCAATATATCATACGCGGACGCAGCTCGGGAGGTAACCTTGCCTGCCCCCTCTGCCCAACCTCCTTTGAGCACGCAAAATGTGGACCTGGCAACCGCGCTAAGGTCCTTACAACAAATAATAAGCCCACTGATTAGCGCTACCCAAGCGTTGCAGGCGATATTTCCTGTAAATGTCTAGGTACAATAGTAGACAGCCTGCATTCATCAAAATTCTTTTTTGGAATTGTTTGGGCATGAGGGATATTCCCAAAAAACGGGAATTTCATCAAGCTCTTTTGGATGAAGGTATAGATGTGGCCTTGCTGCAGGAAACGTTGCTTAATCCGGGAGATCGTTTAGCTCTCCCGAATTATGATATTATCCGAGGTGACAGATTGAATGGTCGAGGCGGCGGTTTAGCAGTGTTGATTAAGCGCGGTATAGACTATTATAGAAGCACTAATGCGGAGATGCATAGCATCGAAGCAGCTTCTGTGGTGGTCAATATAGCGGGAGGTGTCTCGTTGAAGATCACATGGGTGTATGTCAGGTGTGGTGCCAGGCTACAAGAGGCGGGTCCGCTTATTGTGGCAGGGGACTTCAACTGCAAACATCGAGCATGGAATTCTAGGTTGAATTCCACTAGTGGGGTTCGATTGTACAACCATGTGATGCGAAATGGGTACCTTATACATAGCACTGAAGAGCCGACACATCATCCATTCAACCATCTTCAGGCACCAGATGTCATCGATTTCGAGATATCTAAAAACTGTATATACAGTATATCTTCTCGAATCTTGTATGATATCTCTAGTGACCATCTACCTGTTGTCTTGGATGTGGGTAATGAGCAAACTTCTGAGGAGGCAGCTCCTCCAAGGAAACGCATTGATTGGGACCTATACAAGTTGCTCCTTAGAGAGTTTCCCAATATCCCGATTATAGATGATGAGTCTGAAATAGATGCCGCTCAAGCGGAGTGGACAAGTTTCATTCAAGCAGCTCTACAGCGTGCAGCTGTATTTCCTGTACAACGACACGGCAGACCTTTTTTGCCTGCGGACATTCGTCAGAAAATCTCTGACAAAAGAGCCGCTATTAATCAGGCAAAAAGGTCTTGTCATCCTGATGACATTCGTAGGGCTACAAATCTTGTCCATGAAGTGAGAAACGCACTGCACGAACTCCGCAACGAGCAATGGAGCGACTTTCTGGCGGGAATGCTTGATTCAAGTATTCCTCTCTGGAGGGTCGCAAAGTCACTCAGAAACGGAAAGCGAGAACAACTCCCACACATCCACGGTCCTGAAGGCATAGTCTTCAGAACGGAGGATAAGGTCGATGTTTTCGCTGATGCCATGGAAAACCAGTTCTCTCCCAACTATGATCTCGATAATGACCTCGACGAGGAACAGCACATTGTACGATCCGTCAGGAGATATTTTAGAGGCAACGGTGTTAGCGGAGGCACTGAATCCTCTTCAGATGACTCTTCCTCAGAAGATTCGTCTGGGGCTCCACATAGCACATTAGCGGAACCCTCCGAGTTTCCACATTGCACACCAGCGGAGTTACTAAGTCATATTAAAGACCTCAAAGTGCGTAAAGCACCTGGGGAGGATCAAATCACCAACAAGGCGTTGAAGCTGCTCTCGCCGAAAGCCCTGACATACTTGGTGACAATAATCAATGCGACGCTCAAAATCCAGTACTTCCCTGCTGGGTGGAAGACTGCTGAGGTCATCATGATTCCAAAGAAGGTGGGTTCGATTTTCCTCAGGATTACCGTCCCATAAGTCTGCTGTCAGCTCCTTCTAAGCTCGCCGAAAAGGTGATTTATCGTCACCTTGAGAATTTTTCGTCAAATCACCATGTGATTCCTGACGTCGGTTTTCGGTCCGAGCAAAGCACCGAGCTACAGGCAGTCAGGCTGGTGGAGCATGTAACCAGAGGGTTCACCCTCAGCATGAGTACTGGCATCTTGCTTTTGGATGTCTCAAAAGCCTTTGACAAGGTGTGGCACGCGGGCCTCCTCTATAAACTAATCCAAAAGGGTTTTCCTTTTTGGCTTCTAAAATTACTGAAATCCTTTCTTGAAGGAAGGAAGTTTCGGGTCAAAATTAACAATGTTTTGTCAACAACACGGCCAGTACGGGCCGGTGTGCCTCAGGGTTCGGTCCTAGGACCAATTCTTTATTCGCTTTTCATCCATGATGTCCCCTCCCCCAGCAACTGTGAAGTCTACCTCTATGCTGACGACACTACACGTGTCGCCCAGTCGTGTACTGGTAATCTGGTTCACGATGGGTTGCAGAATGCGGTGGACGAAGTTCTAGAGTGGGCGGAACGGTGGCTGATAAAAATTAATCATTCGAAAACGCAGGCTATTTATTGTACCAAAAAACGTCGCGACCCCCCAGCAGAGGTTTCTGTAGACGGAAATCGTGTACCATGGACAAATTCTGCCAAGTATCTCGGTGTCACCCTTGATAAAGGCATGACCTGGCAGAAACATACAGCATCCATAAAAACAAAATTCCAAATTGCGTTTCGGCAACTATATCCTTTGTTAAGTAGATCCTCCAAATTGAGTTTGATAAACAAAGTTCGACTATATAAAATGATTATTAGACCAGCCATTACTTATGCATGTGCGGCTTGGTGTTTTCTTGCCAAGACACACATGCAAAGTCTTCAAGTACTGCAAAGCAGAACTTTGCGGACAATTTGCAACGCTCCATGGTATGTCTCAAATGAGACACTACACAAAGACCTTGACATTCCTTATTTGAGGGATTATGTCAAGCTTCAGGCGCAACGACGTTATAGTCAAGCGGAATCGCACAGCAACCCTCTGTTGCGTGACTCAGTGGAATACACAGTGGAGCAAGTTCGTAAACATTCAAGGCCACGGCTCCCACTGTAATCAAAAGTTAGCGTGAATCTTTAGTAAACTCAAAATTACACTCTAACAAAACCGAATCAAAAAAATTTGTTTAGTTCACCTCAAAATTAATCCGTGTACCAAGTCAAAAAGCCTAGGGGTTTCCTCTTAAACTAAGCATATCTGTTTTTCTTTGTTCTCCTTTTTTTTTTCTTCTCTTTCCCTTTCTCTTTTTCCTTGACTTTGTCTGGTTTCTGGGCAACCAGGACTGACAGATTCGACTAACGT